CACTTCTACTTGCAACATTTGAAGCTTTATTGCTTATTTCTAGGTAACGCTTGCAAAATTTCAAGTGGGTTTTTTCAATTGGGGTATTGTCCCAAGCTTTAAAATCATGTTTTACATATACACCCCAAATTTCGCTATTATATGATAATATCGGGGAAATCATCGTTTCAAATATTTTGCAAGCAAGAGAAGGTTTTAATTTGCTAAAGTTTGTGTGTTTTCTTAAACTAAAAAGAGCATGAAGAGCCTTCTCCTTCAGGTGTTCGAGGGAGATATTAAAATTACCGGTTGAGGAGATACGGGTTCCTAAATATGTATATTCATGGACAGTATCAATGGTTTCTTTACCTATATGGAATTCTAGATTGGAGTTTTTTTCTTCGCTCGTTTTTGAAAGACCATAACTTTGGTCTTTTTGGAATTTATATCTAACACCCAAGAGTTGCAAAAAAGAGGATAATGTGTTGAGACAGTTCTGCAATCCGATTTTAGATCGTGATATAATAATTAAATCATCAGCATATAAAAGCGAATTTAATTTGGTACCATTTGGAAGGATGATAGGGTCTGATAAAGTATTTTGAAATGCGGACGGTAAGTTATTAACGTATAAATTGAAAAGTAAGGGGCTTAAAATACAGCCCTGGCGTACGCCCCGTGAGAAGCTAAAAGATTTTGTTTGACTCGTACCTATTTTCAATGCACACGAAGAGTTTGAATATAGGTTTTGGATTAACTTATAGAAAAGTCCGTCATGCCAGACTGAGTCAAAGGCTTTTCTAAAGTCAACAAAACAAGCGTATACTTTCTCACCGTGACAGTGTACGTACTTGTCTATAAGAGTTCGTAATGTTAGGAGGTGGTCTGATGTTCGATTTTTAGGTAAGAAGCCGATTTGAGACTTATGGAGTATGTTCAGCGAAGTGACGTGTTCAAGAAGTCTTTGGTTTAAAATTGAAAAGAACAACTTTCCTAGACAACTAGAAACACAAATCCCGCGGTAATTTGATGGGTCATTTCTTATGCCAGATTTAAATATGGGAGTTATAAGACCGTTGCACCAATTTTTAGGCACTGTTCCTAAGTTAAGAACAGTATTAAAAGTTTATGGTAAACAGGTAGCAGTGTTGGTAAGCTAGCTTTAATCATTTCGTTTCTTATTTTGTCGGAGTATGCAGATTTGTTATTCTTTAATTTTCTTGCTGCCTTGCTTATTTCAGCTTCTGTTATGAAGTAATCTAGAGGTCGTGATTGCATTAAGACGTCTTCTCGTGTTCTTAACTCATTGACAACTTTCTGTTGCTCAGAAGTAAGTGGCTTATTAGAATGTAAACACTGGAAATAATTCATCCAATTCTCTTCTGCAATTGGTGGAGTGTCTTTGTATTTTATAGTGTCATCCATTGATTTTAAGCAATTCCAAAATTTTTAGTATCCAAATTGTACGTTGTATCCTCTAATTCTGAGAGTTTATTGTTGTAATATTCATTTCTTTTTTATGTGCGAGTAGTTTCTTATACTGCTGTAAAACAATATGATATTTTTCACGTAGAGTGGTATTTAAGGGATCTCTGTGTTTTTCATTTGACAATTTCCTTAATTCGTGTCTTTTTAAGCGACATTCCTTATCAAACCATTTTTATTTGAGCGTGAATAGGTGCGTTTACGTCGTCTCGTCGTTCTTATCTTAAGGCATCGTTTTGCCGTTGTGATAAGAATATTTTCTACCTGTTCCGCGGAGGTGTTAACATTTTTAGCTGAATTGATGTCATTTAAATATTCGTGAATTATCATTTGCAAATTTGGAGACTGAAGAGCTGCTTTGAATTTTGGTGTAGAGTCACTTTCCCACGTAAATTGTTTTGGTAATCGTGTTAATGTATCACTCTCTGGTGAAGGATCTTGATTACGAATATCGGTGTCAGTGCATAACCAGGTCACCAGTGGACTATGATCCGATAAATACGTGGGCTCTTTAACAATAAAGTTTAGTATGTGTGAAAATAACGTTTGATCACATATGGCATAATCAACGACACTTATTCCAGCCTTTCCATGAAATGTGGCTCTTCCTAAGGAGTCTCCACTAACTCTACCGTTAAGTATTCTAAGATCTGCGCTTCTGCAGATTTCAAGAAGGCGTTTGCCGTGATTGTTAATGTTGTTGTCAAAACTATTTCTATGAGTGGAGCCTGAAGAAAGATGGGACTGATCATTGGTAATAATGGTGTTTCCTTCTTGGCTTACACAATCCGAATATTTTCCTGTTCTAGAATTAAAGTCACCCATGAGAAGAATCGATCCTTGAGAGTAAAAAGTTTCAATGTCGTTTTCAAGATCTTCAAACATTTCAGGGAGAAAGTATTTTGAGCCGTTAGGCGGAATATAGACGCCACAAACATAAATATCTTTTGAGGTTTTTACGTACTGTTTGCTAATTTTGAACCACAGAAAGTTCGAAGTTATTTTTTCTATTGATACCCAATTATGGAGTTCATTTTTGTAGAGTAAAGCAACTCCTCCTGAGTTGCGACCATTGTTTCCTAATTTTGAGGTACCTGAAACTAGGTAGAGGGATAGGTAGAGGGGGGTGGGTAGATAGGTAGAAGGCGGAGGGATGGGAGGGGCAAGGGAAGGGAAGGGAAGGGAAGGGAAGGGAGGGGGGAAAAGGGAGGGGAGGGGGTCTAGCCTGCGAGCAAGGTGTCTTGCTGCCGGGATTGGGGGGAGGATTGGGTGGGGTGGGGCAGTGAGAGACCTTGCTCGCAGGCTAGACCCGGGGAGGGTTTTGCTGCTCAGCACAATTTTTTTTCTTCTTACCTTTATGAAATTCTTGACTTAAAATAAGTGTTTTTAGAAAAAGACGCATTCACGTAAGAAAAGAACGGGAAGAAAAGGACGTGTGCGAAGAAACAAGCGAAATTTATGATTATACAGTTGTCAATACTTGGGATCAACTTCTCCACACTTTGAGACCCACAGGACGCTTTTTCTCACATTCCTTGGCGAGTTAGTCTACTTATAGTATTTTCCTTTTCTTTAATGCAGTGGGGATAAACAGACCATGAAGTTCAAAACTGCTCTTCGTCTGAAGTTGGAGAATTTTCTTCCTTGGTCAACGACCTTGGGGACATTTAACAGCCTGACTTAAAGACTGGATTGGAAGTACCTTGAATTAACCTTGCCTGCGAAAGAAACACGACCTGATGGAATTTCTAAACGTCAAAAGGCCGGGCAAACAATTTAATTTGTTTGGTTCATCTTGTCAAGCTGGAGGGGGGTAGATAGGTAGATGGGTAGGTAGAGGGTAGGTAGATAATTGGATAGGCAGCTAGGTAGAGTGGTAGGTTGAGGGGGTTGGTAGATAGGTAGAAGGCGGAGGGATAGGAGGGGGAAGGGAGGGGAAGGGAAGGGAAGGGAAAGGAAGGGAGGGGGGAAAAGGGAGGGGAGGGGGTCTAGCCTGCGAGCAAGGTGTCTTGCTGCCGGGATTGGGGGGAGGATTGGGTGGGGTGTGGCAGTGAGAGACCAGGGGAAGGTTTTGCTCCTCAGCACAATTTTTTTTCTTCTTTCCTTCATGAAATTCTTGACTTAAATTAAGTATGTTTAGAAAAGGACGCATTCACGTCAGAAAAGAACGGGAAAAAAAAGGACGTGTGCGAAGAAACAAGCGAAATTTATGTTTACACAGTTGTCATTACTTGGGATCAACTTCTCCACACTTTGAGACCCACAGGATGCTTTTTCTCACATTCCATGGCGAGTTAGTCTGCCTATAGTATTTTCCTTTTCTTAGCCTGAGCATCAGGTGTTTCTGGGGAAAAGGGAAAAGATGGAAGCGAAAAAGGGAGAGAGCTGAAGGAGAGAAACTTTCTCTTCTCTTCTTCTCCCCTTCCCCATCTAAAATCTCCTCTTCCCTAGCCCCTTAGGAATGCCTGATACTCAGGGTATGCTTTTCTTTAATGCAGTGGGGATTAACAGACCTTGAAGTTTCAAACTGCTCTTCGTCTGAAGTTGGCGAATTTTGTTTTTTGGTCTTGGACCTTCGTGACATTTAACAGCAAACTGTGCGTTTTATATTCTTGAGAGTGAAGTTCTCGTTTGGAGGGTTTTCTTGTTTCTGAGAAAGTGTATTCTTACGAAATGGAGTAGGCCAATTGCACGTTGGCGTCGTTTTACCATTACAACCAGAATCCTTCAGGGTACTGCTTTCTTTTGGAAGTTAAGGCTTTTGTTATTAAAACCTAGCCTGTTCCAGGCGTTTAGATGGTGGGCCGAGGAGCGTGCGAAAAATTAGTTCGCGGTCTCGTGTTTCTTTTTGCCCTCTCCTTCTACGATTTAACTTGCTTCCCATCATCTTAACGCCTGGAACAGGCTAATTAAAACTTTGCTGTGGCTACCGAATTTAAATAGGAAAGAAAAAAGCGAAATGAATCCTGGTCTTAGTGGTAAGAATGGAGCGAAGCCTGGGTTTTTGCCCCGTTTGGGGCAAGGGTTCGGGCTTAAACGGGCTAGGGTCGGGTCGAGGTTATTGCGCCTACCTGGAACTAGTCTCCTTAGTCTTCCCTCTGCCATGTTTCCCAGGCAACCCCGCCTTGTTGTTTTCTGTCAAGTTTCAATATGGCGGGAAGTTGAGAGATTTGAGCATATCTTGAGATCTTGTTCAGGAAGGGTTCGTATACTTGCCAGTTTTTATTCTGTTGTTGCTTTTATGTTCTTTAGCTCACAAAGTCTCAGATTATTGTCAGTGGAAGGCATAAAACTCCGTATTTATGTCATTAGTCAGGACAAAAAAAGCCGATTAACTAAACTGGGTTTATGATGCGAGGGTATCTTAAATGCTCAAATATGCATTTAAACACACCGATTGAGGAGAAAAATAAATTTTAGCAAAGAGAAAGCAAATTTAGGTCTATTAAAACTTAATTATGCTTGTCTTTGCTTGCAAGGTTTTGCTATCCGAAAAGAGTTTTTTGTTTATCATCTTTTTTTTTCGATTCTGCTAGATGACATCCACCCAAGAAGTTATTCAAGCTCGTCGCACAGAATCCTTAGATGCACCTGAAATATTAAAGCTTGTCAGCGCTACAACAGAAAAACTTTTTGGTCGCGTAAATGTGGTGAATATAATGTAAGAAGGAAAACAACTTTTGTAGATATACATGTATACTAATGCAAAATGTAGCTTACAGTACAAATCTTATAGCATGAAAATATTCACTGATTTTTTAAAATGTTGGTTATATAATGGTATCTCTGCATGTCAAATTTGTTACATTGAAGCTTGCTACCTACATGTAGATACTATGTTTGCTACCTAAATACAACTATACAAAGTAGACGGTATGGTACTTGAGCCTTTTCCCGTGTCACCAATAAATTGAAGGGGTGGGTGGAATAAAGCCCCAAGTTAACCTTGATTTAATGTAAATTTTCTCTTTGCTTCACAAGCAAATACTGGGCTTTTCTTCAGATGCCCCTGCACCCCTTCTGACATCCTCAGAAGTCATAAAAGTTCATTACTATTGTAACAATTAGAACACTCAACGTCTGCACAAAAGTTTGGGCCATACATTTATTTAGAAAAAAACAGGGGCCCTTGACAAAAGAATCCAGGGAGAGGAGGATGGGTAAAGCTACCAAAAAAGACCACAACGGTCCTTTTAGCAGACACAAAGCTTGCTATGACTGGAAGAATGTTGAAAGTGTGTATTATGTACATCCTGTTTGTCAGTGCCAAATGTTAGGTGAGTTTCCTTGTTGCGTCACACAAAGTAACAAGTTATTCTGTTTTTTATCATGCAGTGAAAAGGCCAGTTTGGCTGTAACATTGGTTAATGCAAATAATGATGTCATGGGGCATGCTGCATTCTTTGATTATCCCAATCTGCCAAGTGTGGACCAAAGCAAGTGGGAAGATTGGTTGCACTCAAAATATGACTCTGACAAATGCAATGTAAGTATCACTACACAAGTTCTGTAAAAATAATCAACAATATCAAAGAGAATTTAGAAAGTTACATGTACATGATTGTGTAATGACAACAAAATAATTAATGCCTGCCAGTGATTTTGCCTGTTAGCACCAATGATCATAATATATAAATATTTGTGGGTGAGTGTGAAAACACACCTTATGCAAATCTTTTGCCCATGTCCCCTTAGCATTGTTTGTCCAAAAAGAAATAGTTCTGGACCAAACCTTCGCCAATGTGTCAAGCTTGGTCTGCTGAGTACATTGTTTGATTCATACGATTCAAAGTAGACAGACTGCAAATTATCTTAGTTGCTAAAAAATTTATATCTACGTGTCGCAACTGTTCATCAGTAGGATGCCTAAAATGCGTGCAATTCCACAATTGGTTTCGGCTCCATTAAATCCTGTACCAATTGCAGAACATTTTAGGAGGAGCCACCCACCATGTGAGCACAGTCACGGACAATGTATAAGTGAGGAAAATAACGCAAAGTAAAATTAAGACGTTAACAAACGAACTAAATGTACACGTCAATTAAATAAATAAACAAATAATGCGTGCGCTCAAAATAAAATTGTATGTGCACACGTACCGAGATCTGAAATACAACACTATGCAATAAATAAGTAATGTAAGGATACGATGGTGCAATTCAAGACAAGAGTGCCACAGATCCAAACTGAACTTCAAAGTTACATATATAACTTCATATCTTAGACGAGACTCTCATCTGGCAAGAAATGAGACAAAACTGGTAACTTACGTGTTCCTTTGACCAATATTATACTCCTTTTTTGCATAAAAAGTCTTATTAATCAATTGTCACCAAGTTAAAATCTAGGAAATTGGTTGCCCAACAAAAAGTTTTTGCTACTTTCTTCTTCTAGCCATTGAACACCCTCTTCATGAACTACTTTGTAGCCAAGTCAGACTTTGCATTTGGCTGTGCAACAGAAATTATTAGGTAGGTACAATGTACGCAAGTGTTATTTGTTTTTGTATTCATTATTTGTATTTGTTGTTCAGGTAAAGAAAATTTACAATGTGCTGATGTACATGACAGTGCAATTTGTTGGATATTAATAAAAAGATAAAAGACAAAATGATGGCTTAGTATACAATGTAAGAGATTCAACCATACATGTATGTTTTTCATAATGCTTCTTGATAAAACAAAAAATGTGTTTAATTGCAATGATTTTCCAATTCCTGCTTGTGGGTGCCGAAATTAGTGCCTGACTCATGGTGCCGCTGATGATCTTAGATTGTAAGCCCTAACATGCATCTTAGATCTTAGATTTTATTCATAAACATATACATGTATTTTTAATTTTTATTTTTGGAAGTTTATTTACATAGGGTTAACCTCTTAAACTTCCTTTTTAGGGTATTATTTGTGTCGTTTATTTCTTATCATACCTTAAATAAAGTACTGTATGTATGTATGTATGTATGTATGTATGTATGTATGTATGTATGTATGTATTGTGCAAAGAAAGAGTTACATTTTAAGGAAAAACTAATAGATATTGCAAAAATTGTACCGTGTTGACCGTGACACATTTGCCGAGCCAAATTCCATGGAAAGTGATGAATGTGAATGAACTAGATTTGTTGTTACGTTGTTCATGTAGTACTGACATATTTCTAGTTGAATAAATACAGCTTACAACTATTTACATTTTTTGTTTCTTGTATGTTTTTGTAAGGACTGTATTCAACGCTGTTCCTTTTCTTCACTACATCTTCCTTGTTGTGCCAAGAGGTGTTGAAACAGGTCAGTGAGGAGATTGTTCAATCATGTCCATGTATCCTATACATTGGTAAATCATAAAAAGATTTTTTCATGGCAAAAGCTGGTACACTAAGCTTTTCTGGCTAGCTTACATGTATTTACAGACATAAGATTCAAAACCCCTACTGGCAGGAAGCAACCAAATGGCTTTTTTAAGCATGACTGAGATTTGAACTCACAACAATCAAGAAACAAATCCAACCATTGTATGGACACACGTGTCCTGCATTCATATTGGGTCATCATATCGCTCTTAGTGGGATCACTGGGGTACATGTACATGTACAAAACTTGTTGTTTTGTTTATTGAGGTCTGAGGACTGTGACAATATGTCTCCATTGGTGTTGAACTGCTCTATTTGTGCTTGTCTATACATTGCTCTGGTCACAGTTTAAAAACCATGCACCGTTGTTTGTTGCCATTTCATTGATCTTATGTCCCAGTTTTAAGGCCCTCTCACTACACTACTTTTATTCACTATTGACTAGTGATTGCTTTTGTTAGGATCAACTTTGACTGAGTTGTTTAAGCCAGTGGCATTCAAGGAAAGTTTTACCGGGAAATTGAATGTTGAGCTTCAAGTGTGTTATCGCCACGATCATTGTGCCAAATTACACATAAGACCAGCAAGGTAAAGTCTTATATTTAAAATGTTATTACAGTACAGTGTTTCGTTATAATATTGTTTCATGTACATGGCTGTAGATCAAAATGAAAAAATACATACATTGTTATGCAGCCGTGTTGAATGTACTGTCATGACATTGCAAATTATTCTGCATAAATTTTTCTCCATACACCCATTGTTTCCCATTGTTACCAATTGCAAAGTGAACAGCCAGAAAATGCCTTATGTATTCAGATTTGTAACTTTTTGGGAAGCCGCAAATACCATATTTCCTCGAATAATAGCCGTCCCTCAAGTAATCACTTCCCTCGATTAATGAAATTGCCCCCCTTGGATGGAAATATTTAAAGTAATTGCTTCCCCTCCGCTCCTCTCACCATCTTATCTTCCTTTTATCCCCGGGGGGTGGACTCCCACATGAAACAGAAGGGGATGCTCGTCGGAAATTTTGAATTTAACCCCTAAAGGAGACCATCTGGGCGTGGCTCAAGCTTTTTGTGACCCCTAAAGGAGACCAATCTGGGCGTGGCTTAAGCAAATTTTGACGCCTAAAAGAGACCGCTTAAAAACACACAAATACGACATGCAATGTGTTTTAATGACATAAAGACATAAAAAACAAAGTTAAAATGAAAATTGACTTCTGTTTCTCTTCGCGTAATTCTGTGTTTCTTCGCGGAACCCTAAACGAGACCTTGGCGCCTTAAAATATTGGCGCTTTGCCCGGAACACCCTAAGCGAGACCAAAATCCAAAATTTACACCCCTAAGCGAGACGACGAGCATCCCCGTCTGTTTCATATGGGAGTCCTCCCCGGGCTTTTATCCCTTCCCTGTCAGGTGTAGGTGCAATGTGATCCAGCAAAACTGATTAATGACGATTCAAGCTATGAAAATTAATTAAGGAACTAAATTTGGAACAAGTAAAAAGCCCATGTTCAGTTAATTTGATGTGATTATTTTTTTATTTAATGGCATAATATAACGAAATATTTAGGGCACAACTTCCAGTGAGCTGCAATATTGAAATAATCGCCTCCCTCAAATAATCACCTTCCCTCAAATAATCACCTTCTTTTTGTGGGAAAAAGAAATAATTGCCCCGGCTATTATTTGAGGAAATACGGTATTATAGCAGGGTTAGGAGATGGCAGAAAATTATTGAGACCCAAACAAAGCTATAACTGTTTTATGAACCACAACACTTGCAATTCGCCTTTTTGCCTATTTATGCATTTTTCTCAAAAATCTAAAATAAATTTAGACATTAACACTGGTTTAAATTTCCATAGAAATATGTAAAGATTTGGTCAACCTTTCAATATTTTCTTATTCTCCTTAAAACTATTATGCACAGAACACAAAAGGTAAGTTTTCACTGGCCAGTAAGTGAGAAATAATGTCTGTAATACTCAATGGTAAAAACGGTCATATATAGGAAATTCAACAAAAATGTAAGATCATAAAGTGATTGCACTCAACTATACAACTGTCATTACAGTTGTACAATGTATACAGAGAGGCTTAGCAGCAGGTGTAAGGTATTTTATTTTATCACACATGTACATGTACAAAATTAATAATTAATTTTATTTGGGGAGGAAGGGAGGGCAAGGAAGTAACATTCCACGAAATGTTTTTTTTTTCCACCAACAGGGTTGAGGATCATGATGACCTTACACCGATTTTCAATCGACAAAGTGATGTGCTCACTTCTACTTATGGTATGCTTGCACAATTGTAACTTAAATAATTTTTGTAATAATCTCTGTCATAATAGCATAAAAACTACTAGACCACCCCTGATAATTTGACCAGAGGGGTGTTAAGGTGCTAGGGGTGAGGCAAATACATTTCAAAAGAGTTGGGTGTGAGCTTAGATTGTTTGCTACAGTATATGTTGAGGACAAAATATTTGATAGACGGGAACTAATATTACATATTATTGTTTTCTCTGGGAAACCAAACAAACCTTGTAGATAAAGGGGGACCATCCTACAGAAGTAAATGTACATGGATTTCTTTTCTTGTTACAGAGAAACCAACAAGTTAAATACTTCAGTGATTTTTTTTTTACTTTAGTGCATAATAATTTTTATTTTTATTGTGCTGGTAAGAAAAGATACTAAACAAATCACAAAATTATTTCTTGGATAATGATGACAATGGACTGTGCATGTACATGCATCTTAAATCTGGCTTGAGCTGGTTGTTTTTATCTTTTTATAACAGGTAACACTTTATCTTTCAGGTGACTTCTTCTTAGCAGAACTCATAGAAGCACAAGATGAGAAAAATAAATGTGTTGTTGCAGATGTAAGTTAGAGGGAAGTTCGTATGGGATGATGTTTGCTGAAATAGATCTAGCTGACTCAACTCAGTTGTCTATTTGTGAAAAACTTGGTTCTTTCAGCAGTTATTTTGACTTAAAACTAAGCTAAATCAAGCAAAGCAGTACAGTGAAAATCTTGGTTTATAAGAAACTGGGATAAGACAAAGAAATAAATGATTTGCTGCATGATTTCAGGCAACAGTGCAACTAATCCACCAGTTCTTATTGTTTTTGCTCTTGAAAATTACAGGTATTCCATAACTAAGGGCACTTACCATTTGTCAGAACTCACCAGCTGCCAGCTGCCAGTAGCTAATCAGAACTTTCCAGCTGTTGATCAGACCACTATTAATCAAAACAGGGTCTGGAGGAAGGTTCTTGATTAGTGTTCTCCTTAGCCGGCATTAACCAGTGAAACTTGTAAACCACTTGAAGCAACACTTGAAGTATTACTAAAATTAAATAAGCAGTAAAAAAATTCGCAAGTTGCGATCCAAGCCAATCCTCAATTGAAAAGGAAGTAAATACGGAAAAACAAAAAAAGTACACAGCTATTCTCTTTGATTACTTTATTTAAATGCTGACTGGTACCTTTCAAAGCACTGCAGGCTAACAATTTTTTCATGGGCTTCTTTCCCAATTCTAGACTTTCTCGACCAGCAGGAAAAGTTTGCGACTTGTGTTACTAAATTGACCCTAGCCACAAAGGCAGCCTTCATTCATAAAATTCTTTGTTTTGAGGTGTTTTCAGTCAATTGGTTGACAGAATGCTCGAAAATAAAATCCTTCATGAATGCGAAAACCTATAGAGCATACATTGTATTTTTGACCTTACCCATCAAGAATGGTCCCTTACCTACTGAGCTGAAATTTAAGGAGAGCACCGCATTCCCACACCTTTTTTCAGGAAAATCCTGCATTCTGCTATTTTTTCATCTGTTTCCTAGATTCCTCTTTTGTTTCCAAAAACAATGAAATAAAAATAAGTAACTAACAGTTAAGCCCTACAGTTTGGGTTGAAAGAAGACATCACTTATATGTAATGCATGCCTGGTTGATTCACATTTGCCACTCAAATATATATGATTTCCCGAATTCCCAACATTAAGGTAAAAAGTCCCACATCACGTGCTTAAATGTTGGTGAATCGTGCTTCCTGAGTATCTGAAAAATCCTGTTTCTTATTAAGATTCAGATTCCCGCACCGAATTTTGGTCAAATCCTGGATCCCTAAAATACTCTTCCAGACCCTGTCAGCTATGTCACCACGGTGCTTTTATAAATACATCTACATGTAGTGTGTACTGTCCTTTCTTGTTTTTGGTGTGTGCTTTGACTCTCAGACATTTAACATTAGACACTGATTACAAGTTTCCCTAGTTGGACTGTGTTACTACATAATTAAGTAGTAGTTACCTTACGACTACTGTACATACAGTTGTTACTATGGTGTCTTATGGATGTCAATAGGAAGTTGCCTTTTTTTCACTCATGCATGCTGCTCTGCCTAAAATGCACTGCGTATTAGTGGTTGCCTTACATGGACTGAAATGAGGACTTCCTTAGTGGGACTGCACAGTTTTATAAATACTGACGATCAACGTAATTAACGTCCAATAGGAATACTTAGTAGTAGTATTTCTGCTGTGTACATGTATATTCTGGAGGACATGCCTTACATGTATAGGAACTGTTGAGTTGCAACGTGTACACTCATGTATATTACACATGTAGTGCTGTCAAACATCTCCTGTGAATTACATATAGAAGGTCCTGGCTTCCTATACTGCTATATCAGTACCCATCTTCCATGTACTGTACATCAAGAGCTGCCCTAAACCGTACATGTACATGTATTAAGATGTAGTATTAATTAGAAGCTCAGCACTACATGGACTGTAAGTTTGCAGTATCTAATATTATCTGCTTTTTATTGTTTATGATTATCCTCAAGCACTGTGACTCCAAATAGGTGGTTAAGAGTGGCTAATGGTTAAATCAGAGTGTAAATGTACAGTGTAAGTCATTCAAACTCAACAACCACCTGTATAATCTTAAACAATTTTAAATTGCCTTGTTTATTATTTTGCAGGTGAAAGGCACAGCAGTTGGATTTATGAGTGTTTGTTCAACTGTGGATGTAGAGTTGCTTAGTAACTGTTTTGACTTGAAACCTTTTAATGGTTTGCAAAAGTTCCAAGGCCAAACACCACCCAGAGGTACATGAAAAAACATTAGACATGTTCACTTGCCACAAGACTAAATAAAAAATTAAAGTTACCCAGTAACTTAAACTTGCCTACAATACATGTAATATTTCACCTTTTTTTTCATTGAATTGTTCATTTATACGTGTACCTCAGGCTACAGTGTAACTGAGTTTCAAGTGGTTACTGTAAGTAAGGACCACCCAGTTGTGCAAGTATAGTTAAGCCGAGTTGCCTAAGGCTAGTAAGATAGTGATTATATCACTGAAGTTAATTGGGCATGTGAGAAAAGAAACTGTATACATGTAGTAGAATGTAACTTGCAAAACTGGCCAATCATGATGGTTTACTATTACTGAGAGTTTTTTAATTATCTTATTTCATTGTAGAATGCCCTTCTAATTGTGAAGCTTGTGATTAATTTGTTATTAATTGTCTCGGTTCAGTGATCATCGTATTGGAAGTCTGGTGATGTTAAGCTAGCCTCTTCATTCTTTTTATCAGTATTCAATGGAGATGTCAAAACGTCTAAGCTTCTGTTCTTTAGGGGACACACACGTAGATCCCAGTGTGGTGTGGTTCACTTAAAGTTATATAAAGTTTAAGGGTTGTCACATATGTGTGCATTCTGTCCAGTTCACACCTTCCTATGTAGTTTTACAGCTGTTAAGGTATCATCTGGGTATTCCATAGTGCTGCACTCCACACTATTAAACAACCTGACCCTTTCAAGTCTTTTGTACTTCATTGTAGGCATACAAAAGTCATGTTAGCCTGGTTTTCATATGTCGGGAAAATCCCAGACGATCGGGGATTTTAATTTTTGCCGACCGTCCCAGATATATCGGATAATCGCCACAAGTCAGACTCAGATTCTTCCGATTAATTTGGCCGGAAATGGAAAGTGCGCCAAAAATTGAAACTTGCGTGACAGGGGGACAGAAGCCCAGCAATTTAGGGGATTGGTAATGAGCGAAATCCATCGCCGACGTCCCCAACGGTACGAATTTGAGTTTTCATTTGTCGGGAATGATCGCCGACCATCGCAGAATCTGGGACGCGTCGGGAAAACAGGAACACTCCCGATTCTCCAGATTTGTCCCCATCCATCCCAGACGATCGGGGATATCTACGATTTCGAGTTTTCATTAGTTGACAAAATCTGGGACAGCCGGGAAACAGTAAAATCTCCGATCGTCTGGGATTTTCCCGACATATGAAAACCAGGCTTAAGTAGCTTCTTCACAGTTTCTTTTTGTCACATTTAATCATGTAAAAATGGTTGTTTCTCTCCTTTTTTTCTTTAGTTTTAAGTCCTGAGAAATCAACTAGCCCAAACCCCTCGGATGAGAAAGAAGCAACACCAACACCAACCGATGAGCAGACACTGAAGTAAGCTGCTGCAGTGAATTTTGATTGTCTCTATTTTGTACACACAAAGTCATGTAACTGCTGAGTATAACAAGTATTAGTAACAATGACCAATCATCATCATTGTTAAAGCTCACATATACTGTGCCTTACTTAACGTACTTTACGTTAGTCAAAGTTGATTGGCCCGACGGTTTAATCATTTATCCAAACTATCAAACCAGGTCAGTCCGGTTCTGAAATATCATGCACAAAATTGCACAAATGACTGGTTCTGTCTAGCATTAGACTTACCACAAGTTGACTGCGTGAGCACCAACCTCAAGTGAGCGAAAGCAAGCGACAAAGTTGCGACTGAGATGAGCGACGTAAGTCAACGGACAACCAAACAAGCAGAAACGGGAAACAGGCTTCGAGAAAGTCTAGCCTAGCCCGAGTATCATTCTTTCATTAGGGATTAGGGAAGAGGAGATTTTAGAAGGGGGAGGGGGAGGGGGAAAGAGAGAGAGAGAGAGAGAGGGCATTTTTCTCCTTTCACTGTCTTCCATTCTCGTTTCTCTGTTCTCCTTTTCCCCCAGAAATGCTTGATACTCACTCTAGGTCCAGCCCACCAGTTCTAACTTTTGCTGGGTCAATTCAGCCATTTATTTGTAGCTATAGTCATGTTGTTCAAAAAGTTTATTGACTAGATGTACTTCCTTATTCAAAAAAAGTTTATGAACGTTAGCCCTTATTTCCACAAGAAAGCAAAAACCTTATGAATGATGAACTTTAACGCATTACGTAATGCACCAAATTTGCAGTTGCTACAAGTACAGTAAGCATGCAGCTTCTACTAAGAAAACAAATTTAAAAGAGCTTTTAAGCATGTTTAGGCTTTGATCTGAATGGAGGCTCTAGCTTCACTTTTCATAACTTAGCCATTAACTGACTGTGGTACATTATTTTATTACATTTTCTTCTGAGTCTAACTGAATTTCACTTGTCTTTTAAAATTTAAAAAGATAAGCCATAGGTCATGAGCTTATTCACAGTATTTTGCTATTTAACTATGCAAGTCCAAGTTTACCAACTTCTTTATAAATAATTTTTTTAATTTGAATTACATCCAACTTTTTTCACCAGACCAACAGACTCAGTCATTGAGGACAGAGTAGCTGAAGATGTTAAGGTAAATTTTTCAAAGAAGGTTTACCTGTCTACTCAATGGTTGATTTGATTCCCCACATATTGTTTTTTAAATTCATTTTTTCACTGATCTGCAGCAGGCAAAGGAATCAAGCGCTGGTGAAGCAAGTGCATTTTGTATCCAGTTGTTCTGTATTGATGAAAAATACGAAATGAGGTTGGTGACATTATTGCATTGGATGTCTTCAGGTTACTGGATTGCTTTACAGGGCTTCACATTGTGTAATATTGCTTTAGGGGAAGGGGAGTTTCTTTCAAAATTTGCCCTTTCGGTACCTGTGTTTTGCATATTTACAAAAGCAAAGACATATGGTATGATTTATTGTATTTAAGGTAATTATCATGTAGGGAATGAATTAAATCTAGTGTCAGAGAGTACCTCAGGGAGGTATTCTATGAAATAGACCCGTCCATGATGTTTTTAACTTTTGACTGGGACTGTTTAGCAAAATCCGTCAACGCGTATGGGAAGAACGTCTTAAAATCAGTAAAGTTGCCAAGTATGGATGTGTTCCTTTCGGCAAATCCAAAAACGGATTATCGGTCCTAGATTTGCCGGATTTCGGGGTCGAAAGGTACGTGAAATCCAAAATTGGATTTGTAACCTTGGTAACCTTTCGCAAACGCTTGCAATATGTATGACAGCTTTTCAAGAAATGACGTGTTTTCTACTGTTTGTCAAATTGTGGGATTATATGGTGCAGAATTTTGTGGTCGGCAATTCGAAAAGCGACGATGGAACATAAGCAGATCAAGAAAGAAGCGCGTTAAAGTTGAAAATTGTCTAAAGCCGTTTTCGTTTCAGTTTCGTAGCTCAGGGATTTTTTATGTAACACGATCGAGTGCCTATCGCGTCTATAAGCGAGTTTGTAGAAAGATAGTAGTTCATTTGTTCCTTTTACTTAGTGTTTTTAAGCAATCTTTAGCGACAAATGGTTAGTATATGGATATTTTACTGTACCAGGAACAATCTCCTAGTGTTTTCAGATATTTTATGGCAAATGGCAGCAACGAGGAAACACAGCGAGTATATTTCATCTGGAAGTACCGCTGGCATCGTCTGACTAATTTCGGATCCACTGTGAATGGAACAGCGTAGATCACTAATCCGTTAATCTGGATTTGGTTTCTTCAGATTTCAAGTCCAATAAATCCTTTGTCATAAAGGATTCACCGGATTAAAATACGGATTTGGGATTGCCGAAAGGAACGCGAAATCCGTTTTAAGATCTAAAATCCTTTTTTGGATTCACCTAAAGGAACGCACCCTTTGTAAGTGTTTTGTTGAAAAATAACGAAGATATGGCTGCGCAAAGTCGCGATTTTATAGACGTTTGTATGGTGGGTGGAAAGTTTGTGCCCTCACCAACTGAAGTAAAGCGTGAACACCTCATGTGTAGCGTAATCACATCACGTGTAGGGGCTTTTTGACAAGGAGAAAGTCCAAAATCCTGAATTAAGTTGACTGTATTTGTTTTTTGTTTGTTTGTTTGTTTTTGTTTTTTTCAGGTCTACAGACTTTCTTCCAGCTGTGTTTGATTTGTTTCCTGTAAGTAAAAGACCAGACGAATTAAACAATAATATCTTAGTTTGATGAAAAAGCACATCTTTTTGGGGGGGGAGCAGGGGGAGAGCGAGTGCACAGTTTCTCCAGGTGATGTCCATCATTTTGGATTTTATAAAAAAAAAATCAGAGAAGACTGGACGAAGCAGGTAGTGCGATGAACGTGGCGTGCTTTCATCCCCATTTTGGTTGAATTTTGTTAGATTCATACGTGTCTCACGCCCCCGAAACTGGTCGCAATGTAGGCTAAAAATTAAAAGGTTATGAAGCATGTGCTGTACCACAAGCTGAAAGATATATAATAGTGCAAGGGCAAGTTTATTTTTGTAGAGTTGATAGATCGTACATGTAGTTAAGGAAAATAACTGACTGACACAAGATTACTTTTCTTAGGACAAAGATTACTGCATTCTGACAATGCCTCATCTAGTACCAGAATTCCCTCTTCTACAGTCTTTTGTAGTAAGTTGTTTTTGTTTATTTGGAAGGATTTTTGGTCTTATCATTGATAACACTGGTTTTGTCTCAATTGATCAGTTAAGTGAGTGAAAACACTTTGGGTCGTGTACAAAGACTAACTTTGGACGCAGTGTAAGAAATCAATGAACCTCCACATCTCTTCAGTTCTACATGTAAAAGGTTTATTTTAAGAAGATAGGGAGACGCTATATTCTTTGAAGAAGCTATTCATGATAAAGGGTTCTTAGATCAAAACGTTGGGCAAAATAAAAAAAATGTCTTAAAACGCGGTTTTGTTAAACACTGGCTTAACTCCGCTTAAATAACCGGCCCTTGAGGATTTACGTACAGTTATTTGAGCCAAGAACAACGTTTGTTCACGACACCTTAGTACAAATGCCGTTGCGTCAGAGTTGATAAAAGCAGTCAAACCTGTTCTTAAGCGTTATTTGAATATCCCTATTTTTTTTAGTTGAAGTTGATCAAAGCCTTTTTTAAATTACTCAATTTGACAGGCAGTTATTTCATTTTGTTTTAGAGAGTAACTCCAAGAAAATACAGTACTTTGTCCCAGGAACTTTATATCTTTCACAGATGGGGACTCATTGAGTAAGCTTTTCTTTTTGCTTTTGCCTCTTATAAACACCACCGCAAATACCACACATATAAAACATTACTGCGTATCTTTCCTTTTTCCCCTTTCGTACCTTCCTGTCCCTATTAAAACACATTTTTATACAATACAATACAGTGGAACCCCGTTAATGCGACCACCGTTGGGCCATAAAATCCTGGTCGTAATAACGAGGTGGTCGCATTAACGGGGTCTTCAAAATAAGAAAATGACTCAATGGTTGTTACGTTTGGTTTGAAAGAATATGGCCGTAATAACGAGGTGGTCTTATAAACGGGGTGGTCGTAAGGAGGGGTTCCACTGTACAATACAATAGTTTATTGACACTCCCCTGGTGGGGCTTTTCAGTGACAATGCGACTAAAAAAAAAAAAAAAACTAATTAAGATAAGAGAAGTAGTTAACAATTCGATTAAAAAGAAAGAATGCGGTGAACAAAGCAATATAAACATACCTATTTAAGAATTAATCGTATAATAAATATTCTCACTACGTACTATACAATATGCATATTTTAAGTTACAATAAAATAAGATACTAGTAAGATACTAAAATACTATCATAACGTGCTATTTAAAAAGTCAGTAATCAACTTATTTTTCAGACAAAATTTAAAAGTAGAAATCGATTTTGCAGTTTTAAGAGTACTGTCTAGATTGTTCCAAATGTGCACCATGCGGTAGGGGAATGTTCTCTGTCCGGTACTCGACTTATACAAGGGGATGTTTAATAATTGTCAACTTCGAGTCACGCGCCCGGTGACCACAATTCTTGTTGTAAATTGATCGCTGAGGTAATGTGGAGCTTGACCAGTCATGCATTTAAATGCCATGAGAGCGTCGCGGAAGAACAGCTTTTGTTTAATTGGAAACCAACATAGATCTCTTAGTTCGGGGGTTATATGATCAAATTTCCTGGTACCTGTAATAATGCGCGCGGCAAAGTTCTGCGCTGACTGTAGTCTACAGATATTTTTGTTCGAGGTGTTCGACCACACTGTGGAACAGTACAGTAATTTGCTAAAGACTAGTGCATTTATTACTGTCACCAGTTGGTTACGGTCAAGAACATGTTTAACCCGACTGATTTGTGCGAGGCTTGACATACAAGATGACGTAGTTTTTAGAACATGGTCATCAAACGTTAGTTGCGGATCTAAAACAACCCCAAGATCTTTGGCCGAAGATGTAAGAGCGAGATCTTTTCCTAGAAGAGATATTTTGAAGTCGGGGAGTTTGGCAAGTAGTTGTCGGCTTCCAAAGACTACGAGTTTTGTTTTGTCAGGATTTAAAAGTAGAAAATTGTTAAAACACCAATTACGTATTAAAAGAAGGTCGCTATTTAGATCGTTCATAGCAGTCGGACAATCATCTTAAAAGAAATCTGAAGTTTAGTTCATCTTGGGTTCATCTTTCAGTCTTGTTTTTCCGATCTTGCTTTCGGTGGTAAAAAGGTATATTTTATCCATGCAGTATAGGATCTCTTTGTTTTGAGTTTTGGAAATTAAAGGAACTTAATCGTTTGCTAGTTTTTTAGATCCTTTTCACACTGGTAGACGTATTCTCGTTTGAAAACAAGGGCATCTTTTAAGCTTTGACCTTGCGTACATATTTAAACATTAAAAAAGAAAGGTTTTTGAAAACAACCTCGAACGCTTAGACTTTTGAAAACAGAGCTCTATCGTGATAGTGTGAAAGGGCCTGAAAAATTAAGACGTCAGAGCTATTCATGCATGACCTACCTATCGGCATAAACAAGCAGTACCATATGAACTAATGTCAACAGACGTCAACGAATCATTTGCGCTTATTGGCGTTTTCAAAACGAGTCCGCGCGAAGAGTAGAAACGAAAATAAGTGTTCTTGGTTTGTCAGTCTTTTAAATCGGAAAAATCAAATGGGTTAAAATTTTGCTTTTTCAAAATCATTAAATTATCTGTCATATTTACTTGAAAAATATATTAAGTTTCTAAACATAATTTATTTTGCAGATCATTTCATGTCCGGCCATGTACTTCAGCTGACACAGAAGGAATTCGGTCAGTTGTATCTCAGCTAAATGGTGCAGATATAATAATGCGGTAAGTAGAAAACTGTTGTGCCTCGGGTTGGCACCTTGTGTTGGTGGCGAGGCTTAGGTGTCTCACTGACGTAAAACTATGAGCTCTGCCACACATATGGACTCCGGTCCATGGCGGGTTTAACTACGCAGAAAAGTCCCTGTTTCCCAAGAGTTTGGTAGTCTGCCCCCAGGTTGAGTACTGCTCAAGTGTTTGGGACCCCCGCCCAGGCGTTGAGAATAACGGTTCATTTAAGAATCGAAAGGATACAGCGCCGCGCGGCTCGGTGGTGCTTGCGCCGATACAACAACACATCTAGGGTCACCAGCATGCTTGAAGACCTGGAATGGCGTATCTTTGAACAATGTCGGATTAACAGTCGGCTCACTGTCCTCTTTAAGTTCACCTGGGGGCTCCTCTCTGTTAAATCTCACAGGCTACTGCGCCCTGTAATGCGCAGGACACGTCGCTCGCACTCGGAAAGTTTCATCCCCCGTTAAACTAGCCTGTCCTCTGAGTATCTTCCCTTATTTTCAAGAAGAATTATTCAGTGGAACAATTTGCCTGCTTCTGTCTTTAGCGAACACTGCTGTTTAGATACTTTCAAAGCCCATGTAAGCTGCCTAAATCATCTACCTGTTTATTAGCCTATTAAGTTAACTCTTTTTTGCTGACCAACCCAGCCAATAATCCTCAAATGTGAGGGATAGGCTGTATGCGGTAACTAAAGTAAAGTGTAAGGTAACTTTTATGACGCAATGCAGAACAGAGAATGCATTGTTTTCGAGCGAACAAGTGATACAGAACAGAGAATCCACGAACCAGGTGCGTATTTTTGAGTTACGTGCTCATCCCGTCTTCAACCAATCGTCGAGTTGATTCATTTGCATCATACACGTATAGCTGTCACATTTTCCCGCTGAAATTTTTTATTGCCTGCCGCTAAGAAAAAGTAATAACCCCGCTAAAACTATTGTCTTTGAAGCAAAATAATTCGGAAGGCTTCATCGGCGCACCATAAATTTTTTTTCCTGAAAAGTAGACTTCCTAAGCTTTAAAAAGAGACCAAATATAAATCTGTATGTTGAATGTTCGCGGACTTTAATATCGTTTTTCGAGGATTCTTAGTTCTCTTATAAGACCACTTAATTTTACGCAAAATAACCTGTGCGCAACTTAGGACAAAACACGAAACTTCAGTATCTCGAAAAAATATGCTATGTAAAGTCGGGATTTCAAATTGTTTATGTAGTAGAACAGTTTAGTTCACTATTTCCAAGGTAATTTTCGCTTGCGCAATCGAATTGAGTTCAAACTATTTTTCGTAAACAAACTGAACAGCGCGCGCGTATACGTAAAAAATATTTGCTCGTTGGCACTTAGCGATAGCTATAACTAGTTTACATTTGTTCTCTTTGTTAAATGCTTTTCCATTTATACAAATGTATCTTGTCTCTTGTTTTGCAGAGATGTTCAGCAATATAATTCAGACCGTAGAGACCCAGTATGTATCTTGTATGTCTTAGCTTGGGAAAAACATGGTGAATCCTATCGTTCAGCTTGTTACCAAAAGTGGACGTCACCTTACCTTACAAATGGTTCTTTAGTGACTTCTTTATAAGTAAAACAGATTGTCCTAATAACGAACAATTTCAACCACCACTACGGAGACGAAGTTACTACACATATAGAGTAAAGAAACACATGGTAACCGGCTAGTCTGTGATCATTGTCTCCATTGGTGGATATCGTGAGAAGGCTTCGCAAGTGACACGCAAAAGGGAATGGGAGAGCGAGGGGCGGGAAAAGAAAGGAAAGTCCTTCTTCCTTTGCTCCTCCAGTCTTGCCGCTCGCTCACTGATTGCTTTGTTCGCCACTCGTAATGGAGAGCTTGCTCGCAGGCTACTTGAGCAATTAGAGTCATTAAAGCTTGACTATCCAATTACAACAGAGAAACAAACCTCCTAAAACAAAGAAGACTGCAATCGACCAACTGTCGCTAGCCGCCATCCCACTCAAAAGGACGAGCGAGTTCCGTGGGTGATGTTTTTTTGACTCCCGATTACTAAATAGCAAATTAAATGACAACCACAGTAATCAATTTTAGTTGCCCTCTTTCTAGTGCACTGTAGTCTTATATGTTAAACTTTTCCTAAACCCCCTATGTATCTTGTTTTTATCTTTAACTGCTTGTTTTTTCTTTAGGATGGAACAGAGGTTCAATGTTTTGTTGCTCAATGTATGGATCAAGTTGTGGGCGTTGCCCTGCTTAGAAGAGAGGAGGTTTGCAATTTCGTCATGTATGAAAATTACAACCACTAACTGCTCACAGAGCTTAAAGAAGAAATTGAATTCCAGGTTGTCCATGAGCCCAGCATTCCGCTCAGCTGTGGCAGTCGCTTGCCTTGTCTGAGTTAGCTAGAAGATAAGTTGTCTGAGCCCTTGCCAAGGCAATTCATCTTCAAGAGAGCATGAAAAGTTACTTGGCGTGAGGGCAAGTCATCTATCCCCGGACGACCTGAAGGGACTATTTTCGAGCTCTGTCCCAGCTCTTTAAAAGTTGCAAGGTGACAATTCATGCTTCGATCGCATGGCTGAACGGCTTTGATTATTAATAAAATACTAATGCTTGCAGCGGTAAAAAGGTTTCATTTTCTTAAATTTCGTCCCGCTTATGTATCAAAATTCTGCTCCATTGTGTTTCATCTTATATCATCAAAGGCCACCAGACTCCTAACTTACAGTACTGGTATGTTTTTTTCACCTCGACCTCAACCCAATGTTCTTCCCTTAGAAAAAGGGAGGGGCACCCCTGAGAGGAGGTTTTGTTTTTTATTAACATAGTACGTAGACTGTAAACTGGTCTTGTTTTCCTTCTTTCTAGGATATTGAATTTATACGTTCTCATTACAACATTGAAGATTTCATCTACTTCAACCACCACAGAAGAGACGAGCATTCGCATCTGTATCATTTTGCGCTCAATCCTGTATTTCAGCAATATTCCAAACACTTCTTAAAGGTGAGAAAAAATCTGACATTCGTACAGCACTGTGATGCTGTATGACCTAACGCATAAACCATTAAACCAACAGTTCATTGATTCGTTTTTCGATCTGCTTTCAGTGACACAAGGGCTATCAACTTAGTACCGTTGTATTTATAAGCTTAGCCTGCAGAACAGGCGTTATTTTTTCTCTTTTTTCATGTTAGTCAAGGAGAGCGCGAATCAAGCGAGACACATGCCTTCCTTCGTCGCACGTCTCTCAAGATCCACCATCCACTTCATGTTCGTTAACCCGAAAAACGCGAAAGATTAGCGCCTGTTATATATCCCACTATAATCTCTTTGGCAAACTCAAAATCCTTAGGTCACTTTCTCGATTACCCAAAATCACGAAAAAGGACAAAAGCAAACTTATCGTTACTTGCTTGCTTGTGTTTTCTTGCCGTAAATGCTGGTTTATTGGAATTTGTGTTTTGTTTTGTTTCTTTTCTTTTTGAAGTTTTTATCACCAAATCATCACCCGGTTTCTTTGGATTTCTGTGTAATTAAGTTAAGATAAGTGTGTTTGGAGAGGTGGATTATGTGTTAAAGATCTTTAACAGACTCCTGTGTAATGTTCTGATAGTGTATCGAAGTGAGTTTTCGTGTAGTCAAGTAGTTTACGTTAGGCTAGAGCCAACTATTTTTAAATATATCTCCTTAATAGGAAGTGTTGCGGTTGGCACACAAATCGTGTCTATACTACCCAGTCTATCCTCAATACTCAACACAAGAAGTAAGTGTATCCACTGCTTTAAGTTAAGTTCATAAAGCGTCAACGCGGACAAGGTCTGTAATGATACCCAGGCTTTTAACCAAACTGTATCCTGTACGACAGTGTTAAGGAGGACGAAAGCGAAACCCTTCCCTCCCCTCCCCGCCTGTTTATGCAGGCTAACTAGACTACTAAAATTGAAAGGGTTAAAACATCGCATCACAAACATGCCATTATTACCAGTTTTAGTAGCGGCACGTTATATAATTGTATTTTGAAATACTTTCTTTTATTCTCATTTAGCCTAGTACTTTGATCGTAAACCTTTACTTGAAATGCATACTGCGATGATTGCTCCTACTGGAAATGTCAGCTACAAATTAACAAACTAGCAGACTATTTATGTCTAGAGGTATCACATTTAAAAAGAATTTTTTTTATCTCTTTCAGGAATCCAAGCCCCACACAACAGTCACCGCCTTGAATGATCTCGTTCCTATAAGGTGAGTCAATAAAGCCTGTTGGCAGTTTTTCTTTGCTTCCTGAGTCGCATTTTTTATGGGGTGTTAGAGGGATTTAGAATAACGTTTACGGCAAACGGTTAAAGCCGCAAGCAACCACGGTGGTGCAAATAGTCCTACTCAGTCAGAAAATTGCGACTATCGCCTAACGAAGACCAGCAGTATGTGGTCGAAGCGTTGCGATCAATGTCTTAGTGACAATCGTGAGACAAACGATAAACGAAACCCTTTATAATAATCTGAGATCAGGCTCTATTTTCGTTTCGCTTTGAAAATAACATTCCGGCGGGCAAGGCGAAACTCAGTTTTAGCGGTAGCCGTTAGAGAGAATGTATGAGAACCGCTGAAATTGGGCCTAATCTCAGGTTACCTTTATAAATACTAATTTGTACCACGTGACAAAGTTTCCCCTCTATTTGTCGTATAGTGTTCATTATGTTTAAACGAAAATGTGTTTTTTCATGTCAGGGTCATTCAATAGGGTCTTTCTGGACAGCTTTTATTTTCTCATCCCCCAATTTGAGAAGTTGTCCACTCCAAACCCGACGTTTCCCGTTTACCGTAAATGTGATTCGGAATCTCTCTATCAACATGAAAAGTTCGTGACTGATGATCTTGATGTTCTTTACAACAGAGCACGTCGCCAAATAATTTATCCAGTGGATCAACTTGGAGGCAACGCTCCATCAGAGCGCATTGTAACAGTAAAGGTATCTTCGTGTTACATTCTGCTGCTTGTCTTTCATGTGTTTTACATTTGTTGCTTACAGCCTAACAGATGATCTTTAACCATATTATTTTATTATGTCTATACAGGAACCCTATTCTCTGACTCATTTGAACAGAAAACTGACCTTGGAACCAAAGGTGAGAATTTATCCCACGCCATAGAAAATACGGGCAATCAGAAAGCTAGAAACCATAGCATATTTTGCGGTATGCAATGGGAAGTGTTTTAATAACAAAAATCCTTGCTTCCTTAGAAAGGGCAAATCAAACAGACTTCAGGTCTTTGATATATTTAATTAAATAATCGATAATTCTTGGAGAATTCAAGCAAACCTTCGTCACGGATTTTTCTGTCAGTGTTTTCTCGTCTAAAAAAAATAACCATACGTCTTATAATGTAATACATGTGAAACACATTGAAACGTGTATTGCAAAATCATGAAGTATCGTCGTGATCTATTTAAAAGTCGAGAATTTCAGATCTGAGAACTATCTTGGTGAGCAACATAGCTCCGTAAAAAAAAACTAAACCACTCCTGCATTCAATAACGCAGCTTTAAAACTTCTGGTTTGACTGCTCAATTAAAATATTCTTACTACCATTTTCGTATATGTTATCACGTTTTTTCAGTATTGTACGATTTGGTTTTCAATATTTTGCTCGGAATTTTTCTACCCTCTTGCAAGAAAAAAGAGTTATTGATTTAATAAGAACACTGTAATTTTCAGGGAGTTATAATAACTCCTCTAGTGGGGCTAATTTAACTCCTTACAGTGGAGTTATTTTTCGTGGAGTTATTTTAACTCCAAAAAGGAGTTTAAAGAACTCTTTTTCAGGAGTAAAAGTGACCACAGATTTTGAGGAGTTAAAATAACCCCAAAAAAGGAGTTATCCTGTACCTAAAATTTTTACTCCACTTTCAGAGTTAAATTAACTCCAAAAAGAGTGAAAACAACCCCTGTAAGGAGTACAAGTAACCCCATTTCGGAGTAATTTTAACTCCAAGACTGGGAGTAAAAAGAACTCTTTTTCAGGAGTAAAAATGACCCCAAATTCGGAGTTAAATTAGGAGTTAAAATAACCCCAAAAAAGGGGTTATCCTGTACCTAAAATTTTTACTCCATTTTTGGAGTTATAATAACTCCCTAAAAATTACGGTGAACACAGTTTAATGCAGACCTTCTTTTTGTATTTTTCTTCAGGTTACCATCAATGCCCGTGTTGTGGTAGTTGGAGCATCGGATGTTGGTATATCTTTTCTCGAAACGCTGGTGTTTTGGTAAGAGGCGATAGCGGAGCAAATGGACAGGAGAGGAGTCCATTACCATCTCCTGTCCCTCTCACATGCAGTACCAAAAGTGTTGTAGTCTGAGTAGTTTCTGGAATTACGTTCGGAGGAATCTCAAACAATAACGCTCTGATTTCGGGAACCACGTTTACTGTAACAGCACTTCAGCTGGTTCTTAAATACATGTACAAAAAATGTCTTGGTACAGAGTTAAAAATCGCCATTGGAAAAATCAAAAAGGTACTATGGCGGCTAAGAAAGTTGGCGTTCGGATTATTTGGATCTTGATCCGAAATGCGTAATACATCAATGCATAAGTTTAAAATAGTTACAAGCCAGTCTTATGAAACGATTTTTGCTTATTTATTAATTTATTTATTTACTTTATACATAGAAGCTATCCGTGTTTGTTTGTTTATTTATTTATTATTTTTTTTATTTTTTTTTTTTGACAGTCCACATCTTCGCTTTAACAACCTGACATTAGTCTCAAATCATGGAATGCCTGGCCAATTAACACCAGACGAATTTCGCTCCAAATTCCTGCCTTCAAGGTATTACCGTTAGCGTTTGTGAATGTGACGTCATGGGTTGTCTGTTGTACTAAGACAACGTTCAAGGCGCTTAACATTTAACCTGAGATCAGGTTCTATTTTCGTTTCGCTTTTTAGCGCGACCACGTAAGAGGGAATGTATGGCAGCTGCTAAAATTAGGCCTGATCTCAGGTTACTTAACACTTGAAATGTGCAACTTTTACTTCTCTGAAGGTGGAACATGACATTTTGTCAAGTTAAGTTCAAGATTCAGATGAATTTTGTTTGATTAGCTTAGTCTTAACGATCCAGCTGAAGTAATTTCCATTTTGAGAGGCTTTGGAGCAATTAGGTTTTGCTTATTGCTCCACTTTGGTTGCTGGCCTGATCGGTAACTACTAGAGCACCCGTCAAGAGGTCGAAGGTTTAAAGATTTTTATATTTAAAAATACCTACTCGGGGCATGTATTGCTTGTATTTCCGTCTTTATTCTCCGTCATTACCCATCAAAAAAAATTGGAACTATTTAAATACATGTCTACGTGTTTTACAGTACCAGCAGCCTTTGCAAGTAATCAGGTTGCAAAAACCATCCAGAAGCTTTTTCTTGAGTCTACATTGTACAGGTATTTTTTGAAGTTGTAGGAAATGTAACTTTTCCTTGGTAATTTCCTGAAACAACTGTTTGAAGGCAGAGTGGGAACCCTTTTGCAAGAGTTAGTGGTAGATTTTTACAGTCAGAGTTGGCTTTGATCCATGGTTAAGAGTAAGACGCAATTGTTATTAGTTTCTGGCTTAAAATTCGTATATCTGTGTATTTTTATCACAGTTTGTGTTACACTCAAGAAGACTTTGTTCACATGGCTCTAAGCACGTGGGTCAAGATTGTTGAAGGCAAAGTCATAGCTCTTGACAGGTAACAAGGGAACCACAGTACACTGATGAAACTAAACTGAACAGTGTTGCAGTTTTACATCAATTTACTTTGAATGACTCAAAGTTTTAACGCCCCTTTTTAGTAGTAGCTTTGCGTAGGATACGTCCATTCATTTTGAATTCTGACTGGATCAATGAATCTTCCGGATCTGTTGCGAGTGGTCATATTGGAATCGTATCACAAAGCTATTGTTTCCTGAACATGATTTCCAAGGGAGACTCCGACGCGGGTTTCGACGTTGTATGGATTTAAAACGTTGACCCAAGTTTTTTCAGACTGTCATTCATTTCTATCTTTATTATCCATGGCTAAAATTACCTAGTAATAGTTGTTAAGTTTGCATGAGAATGATTTTTTCAATCGGTGACACAGGAGGCTTGGAAGAAAAAATCCGATTACTCCCAACGGGGTCGAAACTGTGACCCAGTATAAAACTTGTAGGAAAAACGAGACAACGCCTAGGTTTCTATTGATGGAATTTTACTTTTTTTTTCTAACTTTGGACTTGGAATGTGCTTATTACAAGGAATAGAATTATATTTTCAATTCCTTACACTGTTAAGGCAGGTTACGTAATCCATGAATTTAGGCCATACAATTAGTTACTTACAGGCAACACAAAAATTCCAAAGTCATGAGGATTATCCTGTTGATTATTCCTCTTTGACCATATTACAGGACTAATAAAGTGGTAAAGGTGACTGGAGGAGCATTTATTCCTTATGATTACCTCATTCTTTGTACTGGGCAGCAGTTTCAGATTCCGGTTCCCACTGATGCTGATATATCAACACTTGTCACCACCAGTGAGGTGACAATGCCGAAAGTTTCAAGATACACGGGACGCCTCCCCTCAACAGTCTTCACGATAAACACTGAGAGGGACTGTGAGAATGCGTTAAACTACATCCGGGGATCTTTCCTTGAAGGTCAGGGTAAGTGATGAGCTTAAGTTCGATGTTTTACAGTGAAAGGTATGTACGTATGCTTCGAAATTTCCTTAAATCCTACATATCTCCACAAAAAAAACCACAAACTTTGCAGTGTGCAACACTTCTAACCAGAATTTTGAGAGTATAAATAAAATTATTTCATGCGGGCAATTCTCGTAGGAAAGACGCATGTTGTGTGTCACTTGTTTGCGATCAAGTGGGTGATTGATAAATGAAACTGAGAATGGTCAAGCAAGGCAGCTGCATACCGGAGGAAATGTGATATCTGTTAGTTCTTTTGTTTGTAAAATAGCACTCGGAGTGTCATGTCTTATTCTAGGTAATGCGCTTGTGTATGGAAACACTCTCGAAGCTTTCTCAATGGTACAGACTCTGTTGGCTTTAGGAGTGCCCGGATCACGTGTTGTACTCGTGCAACCCCCACTTCCGGTTCCAACCTGTTTTAACAACCCCTTTATAGAGGATGCTGTAGCCGCTGCCTTGAAGGAGTGTGGTAGGTGCATTTTGGGTTCTGAAACCATTCTCTAGTTTCAAACGTTTCCCTGTTTACGCCTTGTATTAATAGTCACTTGGTGACTGAGAATACATTTATATAAAAAGAATAAGTTTTTTTAAATGTAACTCCTTTTGTAGATTATTTGTATTTTTTTCCTTCATTTTATATCGCTTTCTTCTTATCAACTTTGTAATATTAGATATGTGTTTTTATCTAGTTATCAATAAAGAATATATGATGCTATTATTATTATTATTATTATTATTATTATTATTATTATTAATACTATTACTAATATTGTGCAGCGAGTGTAGAATCAACATTTTTTGTTGATAGAAGCCGGAAAAGTGGCTGTAATGCCGAGATTTGCAAGAGACCATTTTTTTTTTCGCACACGTGAACTCGAGGTATCCGCTTACATGACAGGCGCCGAACCCCACTTCAAGTAAGCGAAAGAGTTGTACCCGTTGTCGAAGTCGCTCTCGTTTTCAGTGCTAACATTCTCTATTATTATTCATTCAAAATATATCTCCGTTTCTGGTTGGTTATAATCAAACGCATAACTCATCATAACCTGCTACTGTTGACCAAATTTGGAAGAATTCTGCGATATTAAACTGATGACGTCAATCGTGCAGCAAAATTGGCAGATTATTAAACCGTTAACCAAGAAACCTGGGGAAGAGGTTGAGTTGTTTTGGTAGTGATACAAAATGGCGGAACTTTTTACTCCTTTCACAAGGAGGAAATAGGCGAACCTTTGGCTAAAACACAGCATAAACAGCAAGAAGACAACTCGACGGACGACGTCTACTATTTGGAGAATATTTACAGAACTGAACAACCCTTTATCTCATAAACTTGCCGATAAACGTGCACTATCGAAGATGAACTTAACATCGTAAGCATGTTTTAGCTTGTTTTTAAACTAGGAATTCAATTATTTTGATTGAATAATAAAACAATGATTGAATTCGGCTTTTGTATCATCTGAAGAATTATAGAGATCTCGGACGGAGGGCGGCGTTAGCGGAAAACACCCTCCGAGATCTCCATAATTCTTCAGATGATACTCAGCCTCATTCAGTAATATTATTGTTAATTATGTAGGTGCCACATTTTAGTTTAATGTTATGAGTAACATCAAATAGGTATAATTGTGGCTTGAAGCTCTCTGGTTTTTTTTTACAAAAGGAGTTGCTTCTCATGTGGGCTTTACTGTGGCCCAGTGGAATGATGGGAAGGTTGATGAGCCCTTGTCACGTGCAACATTCACATCAGAGAACAAACCGCTCAGTGTGGATTGTGAGGTGAAGTTAAGTTGCTTTAACCCTCATTGAACACTAATTTTTGGCCAAATTTAAGTGATTTTGCCAGCTCTGACAAATATTCTTTGTATTATCATTTTTTTATTATTATTTTCCAGGCATTTTTCTGTTTTCAGACCAAAAAGGTTGATTATGAAGCTTTTAAAGGTACTTAAGCTTTTTTAAAGTTTCATTCTGACCGAGACAGCAGTTGTCTCGTAGTATTAGTGACCTTGTGCAACAGGACGGGAGAAGAAAGAACACGGCAAACCTTCTGTGATAAGCGTGACAATAATCTTGTTTCAAAAGAATTTCTCTTAAACTTCACCTTCCCTTAAACAGATCTTTTTGTAAAAGGCCAGAAAACTTTAATGTTAAGTGAAGATCACGACAAAACATGCAAGAAATAGCCTTGTAGCGTTTGTATCACACAAGCATTTTGCCGTCCTCTTCTTTCTTCCGTCCTGTTGCGTAAACTCACTATTATTATACATCATGTGTCGCACCTTTTGTAACATTCAGGACCTAGTTATCCAAAGAACTATTAGGAAAAATCTAGGCTTAGTTACCTTTGCGACCCGTATACTCCATAAATGGGAGAGTGCATAGTAACGGCTGAATTTTTTTAGTCAAACGTCAGTAATTTTGCAGGGATTTGGCAACTATCTGTAACAGTGAGAGTAGATGGAAATCCATGGGTACTTACCATTTACATCAAAAAAGCAGAAATTCCGGTTGGGATAATCAAATGGTTCGCGCCATTCCGTTTGGGAAGCTTCAGAAAATATGGGCTGTCTTTTGAGATGGTGCATTTTTAGTCTTTTTTGTCTGTTAAGTTCATTTGAATATACTTTGTAGCGTGTCGTTTTATGTTTATGCGCAAGATTTCCACCTGGGTGCTTTTGTTAATGGTAAACACCCCTGATGTGCTGATAACTGATCATGTTTTAATGAACAAGAATATGTATAAGTTGGTTGAGCATGACTGTCCGGGTGAACGTGGTCCTGAGTAGGACTGTTGTTGACTGTGATTGACGTTTCGACAACCTGTGCGGTAGTCATCTTCAGAGTCAAAGTGAGTAGACTCGTAATGTCATTGGTGAGTTTCGGTCCGTCTATTGTCACAGTCAAACATCCGTCTATTGTTAGTCAAATTTTCAGTTGTCCTATCATTCTCTCGTACTTAGTTTTGCTTGAGTCCGTCAGTAAGTCGTTTGTACGGCGCTGGTAACTGTTGACTACGATTCAGTGGCAATTGTTCTAAGTCAGTAAACCAGCTTTCTAAATTGAGTCGTTGATAGTAGTCTATAGGTTACGTAGTAAATGTCGCCGAGTCCCAGTGGATTTGATGTTTCGTCTGTAAATGGTGTTCAGCAATGAGATTGTTCACGTCTCCATTTCTTATCGCCCGGTCGCGTGCTAGGGTTTCTGCCGGTTTCAGCAATGTAAGAAAATGTATGGATGAACGGCCTTAATTGACTGATTGATTGATTGATTGATTGATTGATTCTCTTGCGGCTCAGTGATCTAAAACTAGAGAAAAGCGGACGGATGGATGAACGGCCTTAATTCACTGGCTGACTGACTGAATCATTGATTGACTGGTATGCAAGCAGCCCATTGATGTGAATCTTGAAAAAAGTGGTAAAAGTTAATGTAATAAAACATAGTCTAAAAAACGAACGATGAAATTCCTGCGTTGTCCTCAGTCGCTCGCGATCACTTTTTGGGGGATATCTGAGTTAATTATTAAGGAAAGCAGGTGCGAAAGGAGCTCGCGCTTCTTGCGTGTTTCGTTCACCCCAAGTAGGGTGGATTTCCACTGTCGCGTAAATAAAATAGAGGCAATGTATTGAAAGTCGCGCGCACACGTAAAGATTGAACCTCGATCAACTTTTACGTTTATGCGCGGCCTTTCATACGTTGCTTCTATTTCATTTACGCACGTAAAAATTATGCAACAGTGGAATTACGCGTAAAATTTACGTTCCAATGTAAAGTAGAGACGATGTATGAAAAGACGCGCGTAAACGTAAAAGTTAAGCAAGGTTCAACTTTTACGTTTACGCGCGACCTCCCATCGAGTGGAATTTCACTGTCGCGTAAATTTAACGTACGTGAGCACGTATCTTTTATGCGCGTAAATAAAATAGAGGCAAAAGCTCGCATGTAAGGTAACAGTTGAATCTCGCTCAACTTTTACATTTACGCCCAACCTTCCATAGGCTGCCTCTATTGTATTTACCGTGCGCGTGCACGCACATAAACATATACAGGACGGTGGGAATTCACCTTAAACACTGGGAGAACCTGTGGAGCCAACGTGCGACTCCCCATAACGTCATTGTTAAATTAAATGCAGATATTTGTTTCCTCTGTCAGCTATCAATGACAGCTGTCTGGTGTTTGATGGCAAACTTGTGATTGATGCAGACTTTCACACCAATGATCCTTGCATCAGAGCTGCTGGTCCGCTGACAAAGTTTCAAAGGAGATATCACGCAGAATCCTGGTAGGATAACACAGATATCACCCTTAGTGGCGTGAAGTCGTTTCCTCATCGTCTTAACAGAATCCATGCAGTACAGTAGAACCTCGATAACTCGAACTCCCGCTAACTCGGACTGTTTTTCGTTTCCCTCTGGAGTTCGAGTTGACGGGGTTCTACTGTACTGTGAAAATTTAATTGGAACAGAGAAGTCTCGTGTTCGATGAAAGCGGGTGTTTTTCGTTGACAGGGACTAAACTGTCGGGAAATTTCTCACATATTACGTTGTCCCTAGCTTTTGTAAACGGACACTGCCATTTTAAGACACTTTGGACCTGTTACTGAGAGTATTTCTGTAAAAGAGAAAGTATATCGCAACCCAGTGTCAAACCTGGACCTCGACCCCGGACCTTTCGTATTCTAATCTCTCTCCCTTACCGCTACACTACCACACCGACCCGCAAAAATTACCTTGCTCCCTAAAGTTGTTGAGAATGTTAAAGTTTAATTGGACCCAAACTGAGGTCTTCATTTTTCTATTCGTCTATTTTAGGACTCATGGAAATTTCAACTCCAAGGAAGTTGGTGCAGAATTGGCACAGTCTCTTTTGACGTTATTTGACCCCACCCTGGACGGGATGCTTCTTGAAACTGAGACACAGCAGGACCAGCTCCTTATTCCAATTTACACGAAACCAAAAACAGTTAGTGCCGTACTACCAGGTATGAATGGCTTTTTTAAACTCGCGGATTAACCTTAGCTCCGAATGAGTGTAACACGTTATTCGAGCAACTTCTTCAATAAAATGCCAAATATTCTTGCCCTTCTCCTTTTCTCTCTTTATGTGAAGTCAGCGAGATTTGAGGGGGTTTACATTATCTGGCCTAACAGTGTCAGTGTCAGTGTACTTTGATTCTTAACCCTGTTATGTTCCAGTTGAATTATTTGTTTCATTATCCCTGAAAAGCCCCATGAGGGAGAGGAAAATTAAGTATTTGAAAATTCTAATTTAATTTTGGTTGTAATCGTTGCTTAGACCTTTTTGCATCAATTTTTATTGTTTTATTTGTTTTTAGGTGGATATAATTACTTACAAGTCGGTAAACCAGGTCTAAATATTCCGCTGGACGCTCATATGGTCCAGCCAGAATACGTAAGTGCCATCAAATTCACACTGTTTAAGTCAATCAGATTCGCGTCTCTCGCCTGTTTATTTATGCAAAACCACGAACGTTGCTTTATCCTTGTTATAAGTTTCTAGCATTTTTCCTGCCTTTTTGTATCTTTGATCATTCCAAGAGGTGAAATTTTTAAGTTAAGTTCTCGTGGGAAAAAGAAGTTTTCGATTTCCATGAAGATTTTTTATTTAAACAAAGATATTTCGCTGTCCTATATTAATAATTTTCTTTTACGCCTCCATTCGTCGCTCCCAATAACCTGTATCACGTATTGTTGTGGTTAGAGGCACTGGGTGGGTATTTTAACTGTTACTTAGGCAATGATAGCTCTTGCTGCAAACGGCGTAGATCGCTCCTCGTGAGCACGATTCCAATAGATACAGCTTTAAAAAAAGTTGTGCGAATCTAGGTAGTTCTGTCCTCGCGATTTTTGTAACTTTTCTGCCCTCCTTTTTCTAAATCAGGAAAATTTCCTCGGGACGTTTTAAACCGACAGGTGAACCATTGCAGCTGACCTGAGTGCATATCATTATGGGTTGATTTCTTCTTTTTCACGCCATAGGTGGAGAGTTTCTTCGCACAATCTCCGGTTTTTCGTCGTACAAAATTCTGATCCAAATGACTACAGAAAAATTACACCAATTTGTGGTGTGACTTTTTCTTAATTCTAAGGTGTCACTCATTTGTTCCTTTCCATGATTGAATGGTATGTGTTAGCTTAGTTATCCAAGTTTGAAATCCCGTTTGTCCTTAGGGGAGAGAGCTCATTACTGGCAGCGCCACAGAGCCAGATCAAGAACAAAACTACTTCCGGTTGCACGTGAACCAGCATCACTCATTAGAAACAATCACGTGCTACACTCACCAGGTAGGTCACGTGAGCGATACACGTTACAGTCAGTACATTTTTCGATCCCGGAACTCTGTAGGAGGGATGAAAAACGAGATACCCTAAAAACGCCTGCGTGGGAGGCTAGGAACTCTGTTAAGTAATGCAATAAGGTTAGAGTAACAAAATGTATTGGTTAGAAATCTAGAACCCGAGAGGTAACCAGAGGCCAGCTACCCAAAACTCACCGTCTGACATAAATGCTAACACATGTTGCATTGGCCCAGTTTAACTCTTTATTTTAGCGCCAGACTTAGAAAAGGGGCTATGCCAAGCTTTATACTGTATATTATTTAATTGCTAAAATGCGTCTCTGCACCCATTGCATTCCAAAATTAATGTTACTTAGGCATTGAAAGTGTTTCGTGTCGTGGACTGTTGCTACGAATGGCAAGGATGAACATGGATTGAAACTTGAAATTATTGGGCCAACTTTTTCATATTTATGCTCTGCCTGCGAAAATCAATAGTGCTCCCTGATGAAATTTGTCTGATATCTTCATAACTCTAAACGAGAATTTTGTGGCAATAAAGTCCTAACAATATCCTCCTGACCGTATAGCCCCTGAAAGTAGTTACGTCTAAGCTTGCGTTTTATGCAGCTCACCCCAGAACAGACAGAAACTGGCCCTAGGTATCAAAGCTATCGTTAATTAGTAAAATCCAACTAGTGGTCTATTATCAATGCTGCGTTCTGATTGGTTGAGCTACTACTAAGCTATATGTTATAGCCCACGAGTAGCGAAAAGCGCAGGCTTTTTGGCGGCAAAAAGGGATTAAAGTCTAGCTTTAACTGGCTAAAATTTTTTTATTCTCGATGTTTTTGACCAACTAGTTGGATTTTACTAAAACAGTTATTCCTCTCGCCGTCATGGACTCTGAGTCAATAGCCCATTCGGCCTTCGGCCTCATAAGCTATTGACTCAGAGCCCATTCGGGCTCGAGGAATAATTGGTTTTTATTTATCGCCGCAGACTTTCAAAATCTTCCGCAGCCTTGTTTGTTAAATCATAAACACGAACGTTATTCTACCTACGTTATATCATATACACATTCTACATTCTACCTACATTATAAAATATATCATGGTCTACCTAAACCTCTTTCAGAATTGTCCTTCTTACAAACGTCTTTGTAATACAGAGATCTATTTATAACGTAGGCTTGCTTGTTTTCGGTTAAGTCATGTTATATTAAACATATTTTAATGTAAGTAAATCTCCATAGACCCAGAACTCTGTTTTAAGATCCGTTCTTATTATACGCAGCAATGATACTCTGTCTCGGTCTTGTTTATCTGTTTCCAGACGCTTGATATAAGTAACCTCGTTTGCCTTTATGGTCTTCATGAGCGATACCTCAATAATCTGCTACAGCGGTATGATGAAGGACTGATCTCCGACTTTTACAGGTAAAGTTTTTTTTCCTTTGAGGTAGAGAGGTCCTCGCGCAGATAAGCATTTTGAGCTCTGTCAAAACCGAAATAAGAAAGAAAAAAGAAGTTATTTTGTTCGTGAAGGATATGTGGGTCTTGGTTGTCATTAGTTGCCGACGTTGCCGTGAAGATCAACCTTAATCAACGGCTATCACCTAACAGCCGCCAACTCGTTACTCCATTCCCTGTGAAACGGCCGTAACAATCCGTATAGAATCAGATCATTTGTAAGTTAAGATGAGGGTCACAGCCAACCTCGACTCTCGACTTGTATTGATAGCGATGGAAGATCTTCAAAGTCACGGGTGAAGTGCCTCTTTGTTGTCCAAAGACTAGACTTTATCTAGACTTGCAACAAGTCGTCCTCACAAGTCTCAACGCAAAAAGCCGTACGAAGAAGTTATTCGAAGGTCTATTTTGGCTTCAAGAACGACTTTTAAACCACATTTTGGCTACCATCCAGCAACGTTTTTCTGCCCCTTAAGAACCACGTCCTTTGTAGTCCATGGCGACCTCATCAGAGGTAACCTAAATGCTTAACTTGTGTAAGGGGAGAGAATATGTTCCAAAGCGTACTTGAAATGAGTGGGATTTATTGAAAAACCAGAGAAAATGGGGGCGTTAATAAGTTTCTCTGTAGCTTAGTTCGTTTACGCGATCATATTGTCAACAGCTCATTTTGTTGACTTTATACTTGCAGCTTTTTCCGGGAATCCTGGTGTCTCGCCGTGTTCCACGACAGATTTAAAGATTTTAGAGACGAAATCAGGGAGCTTCTTGTTGCGAAACCTGTGAGTATGCTGTTAAAGATTGTTGGCTTAAAATTCTGAAAGCCGCGGGGAACACATACTATGAATAAATTCATAAGGCCAAATTTTGCTTCTAATAAATCTTTTAAAATGCCTATATCTAATAAGAACAACAGTTTATCCAATTGTCAAATGAGTTAGGTCTATGTTACCCACAAGTAGCGGAGACATTGCGGATTGATGGAAGTTTAGGATAGCTGTTTTTTTATTTAGTAGGTTGGACTTTAAGGCAATGTTTTTTAAAAGCCACAGTTGTACCAAATTGGGAAATCGTGATTTGGGTCCAAGTTTTCGGAAGACAGCACTCTGCGATTTTATTAATAAATGATCGGTCAGAACCTCTAGTGTGTCATGTATAGAGCAGATTTTACAGTTTAAAGTTTGCCAGCAAAATATAATCGTTTAAATGAGCAAAATTTGTCATTCCTAAAATTAACGCTCCATATCTTTTTATGAAAGTGCTCTTTTAGAATTCTGCTCTATACATGAGACACTAAAGTCTACCAAGTTTACCCCTCTGTAGTGCCAGCTCGTGAACTTTTTTTGTATTTGTGCTGAATTCGTCGACACGAAATTGTCGGAGAAGTAAAATTTTGAGATTCCCGAACATGTCCCAATTAAAGCGCGAGTTCCAAGCAAGATATGTACATCATGGAGTTATATGGTAATTATGGTAAATTACATTCCGCGCTTTAATTTTGTTAATAAACTGTAATGTTTTCAAGGATTTTTTAGGCGAAAACAAAAACGTACAAGGAGCTTTGGCGTTAAATTTGGTTGAAATTTTAAGGATTTCCTTATTTTTATTGATTTAAAAATCACTGACACAAGGTTTACTACCAATAAGAACCCGTTAGTTACTTTTGAATAAACATTTTGTTGGTAGTCTCCGTGCAACACTGTACGTGAACACTTTAAATTATGCGCTCATCGTGTATCCAGTTATTCATATCTCGTAAACTCGTCGATATCAGTCGTTGCACTTCGTGCATGCGCCTTAACTTTTTGCATGACAATGAACCAAAGGTGTCCCTCGCGACCTTAAGCTCCGCCGTGGTGAACCAGTCGTTAAACTTGCAATACGCAAATTGCTTATCCCCCACAATGCACCTTATTTGCCCCCCAAATTTTTGCATAAACATCAATTTTCTCTTGGGACGGCCGTAATACCCAGAAGAAATGAAAAAGAAAGGTGAGCAAAATTTTGGGGGGCAAATAAGGTCCATTATGGGAGATGTGCAAGTGGCATATAAGAAAAAAGACAAATTTTGGGATAAATTAGCCACAACGAGCAAAAATACAATCTGGCCGGAAGAAAATCAGTTGGTTATTTGTGTTTAGAAGCGCCACTGAGGAGTTGAACACAACTCGGAGCTCTAATCCAAAAACAGGCGCCAGAGACTGATTTGAACTAGAGCAATTGAGTTACATGGAAAACCTGTACCTAATAGACAATTTATCCACAGTAAGAATCAGCCTGTGTAGCATCTCACGAGAAGAAACTGCTCCGAAGCTTTGTTTTGAATGATCAGACTTAAAGGTGTTATCCACAGACTCACGTTAGAACCAGTCTGTACAGTAGAATAAACTACAACGTAGAAAAATTAATTGCTATTTTCTCCTCCTTAGTCTGCGGACGTGCCATCTCTAGAAGACAAAGTGCGCAAAATGATCGACGAGGACTTAGTGGTGAGTGTTACGCAGTTTAAGTAACCCAATTGAAGGCAAAGACAACGTGTCCGGTTTGGAGGGCCTAACTAACCCCGTTTCACATTCATTTTATTTGTGAAAAACAAAGACGTCAAATGGCACCATTTGTTCAAAACATAGTGCTATCCACTGGATAAATCTCTATCCAGTGGATAACGCAATTGGTTTCCCTAATACTTATCCGCTGGATAGTGATTTATCCCGTGGATAGCGCTATCCAGCGTTTGAACAACCAGGGCCTGAAGGTTCATATTTCCGTCTTTCAAAGAACTGAAAGGCTGTGGCTACGAATTTGAAACCTGAAAATCCTTTCATTTCCTTTCAGCAAGGCCAAATAATCAATTTTTGACTATTGCCAAGAAGTTGAAAAGAAGCTCTAATTGTTACAGACGTCTGTATAGTGGGGGACAAGTTTGTTCTCACCCCCACCATAAAAACGTTTGTAAAATTTCTCGTCTTTGTGAAGGTACAATTTCGCTCGTTTCTCAAACTCGACGGGCTGCGTTCGACGTAAGGAGAACGCAACCTAAACTCAACGCGCAAGGAGCCCTGTGTACAAGCATTTAGCAGAAAGAAATTAGATTTCTAGCAGTCTAGATAACGAAATACGTCATAGACCGCGCGCGCGGCGCCCGTGACGTTTCGTTAGTTCGCATGGCGTCTCGGAGAAAAGCATGAAATGATATGGGGGATTTTGAGAACGTTCAATATCCTGACCGTAAGAGCTATTTAAGTGCGACTTTCTGTAAATACCACGGATAGGTGTGCAAGATGGAAAAATAGAAATCCCCCAAACTTTGTCACAACAAAGCCCTTTGGAAACTATTTTAGAAAACACAAGACTCAGTTCGTTTGACTTAATATTTTCCAAAATAATAATTTTTTTAATTTTCACCTTCGAGAGGCCTTCAAACCACCGAAAAATGTGCTTGATACCCTCGCTTCGTGAATGGAAACGGAAACTAATACCATCACTTTTCTTATATTAAACAATTTTATGATCCTTCCTTTCTACCTAAACGTTGTTACAATTTCAAAAGATTTCAATCCGATTTTTTAATTTTTTTTCAAAATTACCCTCTAAAACAGCATTATCGCGACCATCAATTTTGCCATTTTTCAACGGCGAAAATCCCTTCCTGGTACATGGCTTTCATTAGAAAAATGGTATTCCAGAGAAAGAGCAATGTTTCCCCTATCAATCTGTGAAATAAAATTCTGGGGCAATTGAAACTGCGAGCTTTTACAACTGGAAACATTTACAGTACTAGCGTGATTTACAACCTCTGAACTTGCTATTGTATTGATGAATACAAGGGAGAACTTAGACAGCACTTGAAACTCTGGCGCAAATTCGCCCCTTTTCCGCCAGTTTAAACAACAAAAACGATTTTAGATTTCACAATTTTCAAAAGGAAAAGCAATTTTATTGCACGAAAGTGTGCTATGAACTTCTTGACTACAACACTTCTCTTACGTGCGTATTTGTTTACTTTTGCCGTGTTTGTAACAGAAAATATCATATAATGTACAAAACGGCTTTAGTGTCGGTAGCTATTCTTTAAAATGCTCTCATTTCTCATGAACCAAATCGTTAAAGCTATAAAAAAGGAAAACGTTTTGACCTACCTCACATTATTTGACAACAGAACCGAATCCTTTACTGCCTTTAACGAAATGAGATTGCGTGACAAAGAACTTTGAGACCCAGGTTATACCGCGAAGACAGATACCATTCCGAAAAAAACACTCACGCGGTGCCTTCTGTGACTATAAAAGCAAAACATGTTCTAAGGATTTTGATTATTTCAAATAATCAAAATCCTTAGTTTCACTGACTTATCCGCTAGAGTGATTATGAAAACGTAAGACTAAAAAAATATTCACAAGCTAAAGAGACTATGGAGTGGTGGGCCCTTATAGTCTCTTACTTTCAATAAACGCCTGCTTACACATTTTGAAATACGATTATGAATTCGTCACTTGTATCCTTAGAAAAATGACATTGAGGGGAAAAAAGCGCTAATTCGTAGTCTGAACTGTCATCCGTCCCTTCCCTCAACCCCCTAAGGGGAGGCAGCTCGTTTCGGAAACGAATAAATAAACGCATAACATAAATAAACTAGAACCACCACGTGGAACTTACCGGCGCCCAGTGGGACACGGGATTGCATAGATATAGTTTACCTCTCGCACCCCTCCCCCCTCCTCTGTGGAGGCTAATACTTAATCTGAATTAACTCATGCAGAAGAAAAGCAACAAAATGCATGAGAAAGGAGGATGTTGTTGGAAGTTTGTTCAGTGTTATTACAGCTAACGGTCTGTGTTATAGTAGTGTTTTTAGTAACGCTGTGATGTCAATAAGTGTGATCTGTATAAGGTTTTCATTTGTTTTTAAGTTTGTGTGAAAAGCAAAAATCACTGACAGTTTTGGGTTGAATGGTAATGACAAAGTTTGCAAAGAAGTTTGTTACAGAATTATCACAATTTCACATTTTCTCAAGTACGTTATCATCAGGTTTATCATTGAGATTTATTAATCACATTTATCTATTTTTTGCGAAAACACTGTGAATATGAAATGATAACAGACATAAGACATTTTTGAAATAGATCTTTGTGGTCATGGATTGTTGTCTTGCACTGTAAAAAATGTCATCCAGTGTTATATATAGACATAATAAAATGCTTATTTATTGATGACTGAGTATCATTTGTTAATTCATTGCACATTGAAATGGAGGCACTTGATTGCACCGTCATTTTTAGGGAGTTATTATAACTCCAAAAATGGAGTAAAAATTTTAGGTACAGGATAACCCCTTTTTTGGGGTTATTTTAACTCTAATTTAACTCCGAATTTGGGGTCATTTTACTCCTGAAAAGAGTTCTTTTACTCCCAGTCTTGGAGTTAAAATTACTCTGAAATGGGGTTACTTGTACTCCTTACAGGGGTTGTTTTTACTCTTTTTGGAGTTAATTTAACTCTGAAAGTGGAGTAAAAATTTTAGGTACAGGATAACTCCTTTTTTGGGGTTATTTTAACTCCTCAATATCTGGGGTCACTTTTACTCCTGAAAAAGAGTTCTTTAAACTCCTTTTTGGAGTTAAAATAACTCCACGAAAAGTAACTCCACTGTAAGGAGTTAAATTAGCCCCACTAGAGGAGTTATTACGACTCCCTGAAAATTACAGTGTGTAAGACAGTGGTTGATACATAGTAGCATTCATCAATATGACCTATAATAATTGTAGAGGAAGTATTTCTTTCCTGAACTGGGTAAACAGTAGTATATCTGCAACTGCTTGAATGATAAGTGCATCAGCCCATGTACCTTGAATACACATATTATTCAGATATCTTAGCCATGAATTTTCGGTATTGCTCTCAATAAATCTCTCTGGATTGTCTCTCATAAATTGAACCCCAGCAGTACGTATATGCATATGATGGTTGCTATTGCCATATATTTGATGTGATACAGATCTAAAGAAACAATCACCTGCGCCGCCAACATCTATTGATTGTAAACAAAGTGCACCTAGTCTTGACTGCATCAAATTCTCAGAGGAAATAGGAGAGTTCAACTGCATTGTTGAGCTGTGATTTTGCATTGAAGGTCTAATTATTACTTCATGATGATCAGTGTTGTATTGAGCAGGTCCTGGATTCTTCTCAACATCTTTACTTAGTTTGAAATTCACATAATTGGTCATGTGACTCACAAAATTGCAAGAACACAATGATAAATATCGACGTGCTTTACATTTTAGTTTCATTATCCTGTGATAATGACTGCTAAAGAAAGACAACAAATAAGCTTTCTTGGGTATAGCCATTTTATTTAAGTTAATTATCTTTGGATCGCGTTTGTTATTACATTTATATCGTGCATGATAAAGTTTTCTCACCTTATTAACATAGCGATGGAGCTTTGAAGACTTCGGTATGTCAATCATTGAAATCTTTTTGAAGACAAATTTTGATAAGTGTTCGCTTTGATTCTCGATAAATTTCACGATGGAAAGTTCACTCAATTTCTCGATAAGTTTCACGATGGAAGGTTTACTCTTAAGTGATCGCTAGTAAATTTGTCTCTCCAAATATTCACTCTTAAATTTTCGCTCATAAACTAGTGCATCGTAAAGGTTGGGGAACGTGTCGTTCCCCAAAAAGCTATAATCTTTCTCTTGACTGTCCTCCATGCCTCGTTCTTTTCAAAATGGCGGATAAGATTTCAATGAGCCAGCGATATATCTCAGACAGCGATATATCCCTAACAATGTAACGTTGAAAAAACGGACCGTCTGCATTTTAAGACCGGTGCCAGCCTTCGGCTGGGCCCCGGTAATAAACGCATAACATTTCAGTCGACTAGACATGGCGAGGCTAGAAAACCTGCATCATTTTAGAGCACCGCTGGTGTTAAAAGCAAAGCTTTCCGTAGTTCTGGCAACCTCGAGCAAGTTTTGCAATTCTGAGCAACGTCTGGGAAAAATATAGGCTTACATACATGCCAACTCTCCCGGATTATCCGGGAGACTCCCGGATACGGCACCAATCTCCCGGTCTCCCGTACGGGTCACCATATCTCCCGGATAAAATCATCTTTTGAGCTTTTATGTGCGTTAGTTTGAGATGAAGCCCATTTTTAGCGCAAAATTGAATTTTTCGTATTCGTAGTACGGTTTCTGGGGCATTTTTGCACCTGTATTTAGTCATTGACAAAGATTATTTCTGGCATCAAAACGCGAATTTTGATAGTATGTACTTTATGTAAGACTTCATATAATGTCCTTATTAATTCCCATCTTTGTCGGGGGTGGGGAGGGGGGCGGTGGTTTATTGAATTTCCGGGGAGGGGGGGGGCGTAGTGAAAAAGAGAGAGTCTCCAGATTTTAGATCTCCAGAGGTTGGCATCTCTGGGCTTATGTCAAGTCAGAAAAAAGTGAGCAGTTTGATAGAAAATGTCAAGTACGACTGAACCGCGCCCGTATAAGAGCCCCTAATGACTCTGGCAGTGGAGGGGGGAGGGGGGATTTTGAAATGGAGCGAAGGGGACCTAGCTCTAAGCACCTCTAAGCATACCGTCTGCGCTTTAGCTGTGAGTCTGCCTTGGAGATAAATTTCGCTTATATTTTTGAGCAACTCTTTAAAGAAGATTGCAAGCCGTATAGTTGCGTCCGTGTGGAACGCTCGAGCGGTGAAACCAATTATAACGTCCCTCGCACCTTGAAAAAAAAAACCCGCGTTTTTTGAGAAAAAAAAAAAGGGAAAAAGGAAAAGAAAAAAAGAGAAGGAAAGGCCGTTCGCACTAACTGAAAGCTATTGTTTTTTGCATTGCTATTGACAATCTGAAAAGGAACAGTCTTACACACGTAGCCCTCGTGGCGGTACCAGGTGAATATATCACGTACGCCATCGTTCCAGGTATATAACCTTTACGTAAGCGTAGGATGTAAGACACACTTGCGGATACGCGTAAACATAACATGAGATACCCAGGCGCAAAAAAATAACAGTGGCGCTACTAATGTTGGCTCCCCTCAAAAATGAAGCGTATCGTAACGTGGGGTTGAAAAGTGAGATATTCGGATATCTTCGGATAATTGATAGCGAGTTATTTCCAGTCCACGGACTTTCTCCTTAATTTTTCGAAAGTATTTGTTCTCTCAGAAAATCCAGAATTTCGAGATTTCTTGATAGTTTTCTACATACGCTAATTATCAGATTCCTAACGATAAGTTAAATAGGTCAAGAAAAAACAGCTTTCAGTAACTTAAAATAAGTTTTTTGAAGGCGCGATCTTTGGTTTCACTGCCGAGCGTTCCTGACGGGCCCAAATATACCGGCTTGCAATCTCCTTTAAAGAGTTGCTCGAAACTGTGGGCAAAATTTATTGCCAAGGGAAACGCACAACTAAAAAGCAGGCGGTATGCTTAGAGCTAGGTCCCCTTTGCTCAATTGCAGAGTTTCCCCTCCCCACCCAGCCTCCCCCTCCCGCCGGAGTCATTAGGGGTGCTTTTACGGGCGCGGTTCAGTCGTACTTGACATTTTCTATCAAACTGCTCACTTTTTCTGGCTTGAAATGTGCCATAACCTATATTTTGGCAAAACGTTGTTCAGAAATGCAAAACTTGTTCGAGGTTGCCAGAACTACAGAAAATTTAAACACAAGAGGTGCTCTAAAGTTATGCAGGTTTTCTAGCCCGCCATGTCTAGTCTGAAATGTTATGCGTGTCTTCGCCCCACCCCGAAACCTGCTACGGCCCCTTAGGGGGTGGACGGAAGGGACGACATTTCAGACTACGACGTAGCGCTTTTTCCTAAGAATACAAGTAAGGAATTCATAATCGTATTTCAAAACGAGCGTGATGAACACAAGAGACTACAGTGGAACCTCGATTTAACGAAGGGCCAAGGGACTAAAAAATTTCTGAGCCAACCAACGACGGTTTCCTTATAAATTCATTGAAAACACTTTTCAATGGTGTACCCAGAGTACTTTTCGATCCTAGAAATGCGTTCTAAGCGGCTTGTAAAATTTGTTCCTGTTCGGTCATCCTAGGGAAACTTGCATTGAGTATTTTGGAAATTAGAATACCCTGCTAGCAGAGTCGCTTCGATCTTTCCTAGATAAGTCGGGAAAGAGGAAGGCGCCTTTCTCTTTCCCGACTTATCTAGGAAAGATCGAAGCGACTCTGCTAGCAGGGTAAAATTAGAAGGGCTTCAGCATTATTTTCCCAAAAATTTTAGATGCAATTTAACGTATCACAAAAGTGAGAATTTTTCTGATTCCTCTCTCAATCACATGTTTGAATCCGAACATTTTAGGTTCCCTCTTTTCTACGAAAAATTAGCCTAACCTGGGATGTAAAATGTGAAAAATTAAACTTCAAGAAATCGTAGGGAATTTATAAGATAACCTTCGAAAATTGAACAGGAACGGAACGGTCATCTCGAAATTTTTAGGCGTCCTCAAGCTATAGAAAATTCTAGGCAACATCTACTTCTCCGAAGATATATTTTACAGAAAACAGTCGTTGAGTGCCCCTGAAATTTGCTCGCTATAACGAGGTTTCGTTATATCGAAGTTTTTTTTTCATACCGTAAATCCTCTATTAAGCCCCCGCGGGGGGCTTATTTATTTCAAGTTCATTTGAGGGGGAGGGGCTTAATAGAGACGGGGGGCTTAATATATTTAATTTAGAAACTACGATGGTATCGCTTCTCCATAAAGAACAAGCATACAAAGTGGAAAAGCTCAAGTACAGGAAGTTTTAGGTCATGCAGCCGAGGATCATAATCAAATGCGAACTTCCAGTTGGCAAATAAACCATCCCGGATCAGTCCACACGAAGTTTTACGGTCGTGATTGATTAATACAGTCTTTCATTTATTAGTGAAGAATAATTAGGGGTGGGAAGCGGGTGCTTGACAGAAGGGGAGGGGGTGCTTATTAACTTTCTTCCCCTGAAAAGGGGGACTTATTAGAGGGAGGGGCTTATTTGACAGGGGCTTTAATATGGATTTTTACGGTATATTTTACTATTATCGAGGTAAAGAAAATCATTCGTAGGTTCTTTATATCGCGGTTCCACTGTATAATAAAGGCCTACCCCTATATAGTCTTTTGTCGAAAAAATACTTTTTTAGTGTTATGTTTACGATAAGTCAACGAAACTAAGGATTTTCATTTTTTTACATGTTTCGCTTTTATAGCTACAGAAGGTGCCGCGTGAGTTTCTTTTTCGGAATGATATCTGTCTCCACGGTATAACCTGGGTCTCAAAGTTTTTTGTCACGCAATCTCGTTTCGCTAAAGGCAGTAAAGGATTCGGGTCTGTTGTCAAATAATGTGAGGTAGGTCAAAATGTTTTCCTTTTTTATAGCTATAACGATTTGGTTCATGAGAAATGAGAGCATTTGAAAGAATAGCGACCGACACTATTAGCCGTTTTGTACATATATGTACGGCAAAAGTAAACAAATACGCACGTAAGGGTGTTGTAGTCAAGAAGTTCATAGCACACTTTCGCACAATAAAATTGCTTTTCCTTTTGAAAATTTACCACTGTGAAATCTAAAATCGTTTTTGGTGTTTAAACTGGCGGAAAAGAGGCGAATTTGCGCCAGAGTTTCTAGTGCTGTCTAAGTTCTCCCTTGTATTCATCATGACAACTGCAAGTTCAGAGGTCGTTAATCAGGCGAGTACCGTAAATGTTTTCAGTTGTAAAAGCTCGCAGTTTCAATTGCCCCAGAATTTTATTTCACAGATTGATAGGGGAAACATTGCTCTTTCTCTGGAATACCATTTTTCTAATGAAAGCCATGTACCAGGAAGGGATTTTCGCCGTTGAAAAATGGCAAAATTGATGGTCGCGATAATGCTGATTTAGAGGGTAATTTTGAAAAAAAATTAAAAAATCAGATTGAAATCTTTTGAAATTGTAACAACCTTTAGGTAGAAAGGAAGGATCAAAAAATTGTTTAATATAAGAAAAGTGATGGTATTAGTTTCCGTTTCCATTCACGAAGCGAGGGTATCAAGCATATTTTTCGGTGGTTTGAAGGCCTCTCGAAGGTGAAAATTAAAAAAAATTATTATTTTGGAAAATATTAAGTCAAACGAACTGAGTCTTGTATTTTCTAAAACAGTTTCCAAAGGGCTTTGTTGTGACAAAGTTTGGGAGATTTTGATTTTTCCATCTTGCACACCTATCTGTGGTATTTACAGAAAGTCGCTCTTAAAATTTAAAAAATGCTGTCTGCTGTGTTCAGTTCGTCCGGGTAATGAATATAAAATTGTATTTTCCTGTACTGGTAAGAGCTACTGTATTTTAGATATACTTATTTATTGAATATACTAAGAACTTTCTTTAATATTTCACTCGGGTTATATTTATTTAATAAGCCACAAAAGCATTAAAAAAAACTGGTGATACCTCGGTCTTGATAAAAAAAAGAATGTGGCTCTGAGAAACCCATCTCCCTGTTCAAACTCGTTTCCGTAATGATAATAATAGTAATAATAATAATATTAGTAGTAGTAGTAGTAGTAGTAGTAGTAGTACTTATATTGCGCAAATTACATGTGCAAATGATCAAATGCGCGTCATATATAAAAGCATATTAACTAACAAAAAACTATAAAATTTTAAAACTACGTGATTAAAAATTTACAAAATATCTTTTGGACCTACTAAAAATCTAGTTTAAAAAAAATGTGTTTCAAGCGATGTTATAATAGTATTAAAATTTTCTTCATTACGAATATTAACGGACAAGCTGTCCCACAGTTTTGGTGCCCGCAGCCGAGAAGGCGCGGTCACTAAGTGTCGTATTAATAACTCTTGGAGCTTGTAGGAGGAGTCCTTTGTTTGACCTCAAGTTGTACCTTCCACTTTCCTTGATATTAATAAGTTCACTAATATAACTTGGAGCATTAGCCCATAAATTGCTTTAAATGTAATAAACATAATTTTAAATTCTATCCTAAATTTAACTGGAACCCAGAGTCATGAATATAAAACTGGAGTGATGTGTAAAAATCTAGGTATATTAGAAATTATTCTTGTTGCAGAGTTCTAAGGCGTCGAAGTTTTGTAATATGTATGGACGGAAGACCATATAGAATACTGTCAAAATAATCGATACGTCCTATTATTAGTACATGAGCCAATGTTTGTGTTGCTTTGTTACTTAAATATTTTCTTAGACGCCTGACATTGTTAAGATGGTAATACGCGCCTTTACATGTATTATTATGTTAACCTGTAGACTAGTGTCAGTCCAAGTTCCTAAATCAGATTTAACCGCGGAAACAAAGGGTACACGAGCATCCACATGAACTGTAAGACAGTCAACGTGAACCTTTGCCAACTGCTGTCGCGCACCTATAACGATAACTTCTGTCTTACCGTCATTGATCTCGAGTTTATCACACAACACCCACGCTCTGATTTCACGAACGTAGAGCTCCACTCAGTCAGGCTTAAAGGCTAAGTATAACCGCGTGTCGTCTGCATAAGCATGTACACTTGGCAAGTGTCTTCTGACCACCTAAATAGTGACGGTCCTAAACAGGAGACTTGTGGAACACCTTGTTTTAAAAGTCAAATGAATAAAAAAATTGACATATTTTCTTTTGTCGCTTTACCTTCACCAAACACTAAAAAGAACCATCCTAAGTGAGATTTGGGTAAAGATTTTTCTTCCCAAGCCTTAATAGAAAGATAAAAGATCAAAATCCGAGCATTTCCGAAAACTTCACGAAAACGTGTCTGAAATGGCCGCGTTATAGACTGGAGAGTACGTGACGTCAATGTTGGTCTTTCAGGGCGGAAAAACGTTCTGCGCAAGCTTCTGCCATCCTTTATCGCCTGCGTTTGTTTGTCTTGTTCTGTGAGAGTTCTGACTGAGACTGAATGAAATACACGAGGTGCGAACGTTTGCTCCTTGTAAAGGCTTTTTTGCTTGTTTTTGTTGTTGTTGTTGTTGTTTTTTCGTCACTTGAAAATTACTTTGGATTCAGAACAACCAATGTTAGAGTAAACACAGATCATCCGTCAGTCTGAGGAGGAATAAAACGTTTTGAACATTTCCAAAGAGGTTTGTATTTTTCTGATAATTGTGCATTCGATTTGTGAATTGATTTTGTGTCCAGTGCTTCGCCTTCTTTCGCCGGACTGAATTAAAACCCGTTTTTATTCTGTCATTAGTAGTTACGGTTAGTTTTTTTATATACCCAGATTCATTTACCTTTGCAGAACCAGCTTTATCCTTGTCTTATGTCAAAGAATCGTAATGCTAACGCTTGCGAGTGAATAAACTTGAGCGCTTAAAACTTCCTCGGAACTTTAGAAGGCCAGCAAGCTTACTCGAAAGGAAAATACTACTTCGATCATTTTTCTGTTGCTCAGGTAATAATAGTCAGAATTTTTTCCTTTAGTTTTTTCAGTTTTAATTACATAGTTTTGCTATCTGTCTGTACGCAAATTTTCCTTTCACTCTCTGTGAAGTAGCGGAGAACGACAACTGTCGGCAGTGACTCCAAAACAATCGACTCTTTGCCCGTAAACAATTGCTGGAGCTGGATTTGACTGAAGCGAGCAAAACAAATCCTTATGTGCAGTTTTCTGTATTTTCTAATGATTCAGTTTGCTGAGTTTAATTTGCTTGAATGAAGACCCTCGCATGGGCCAGTTATTATTAAAAAACGTAGCTAATCTAGCAAAGTAGTCGGAATCAGGGCTTGGCTGTGAAGCTTGCAAATGATCTTTTGCTTTAAAGATCTTTAGGTAGGTTGTTTCCGTACAGAAAATTCGCTTCTTCTTTGTCAGCAGGTATAAGAGCCTTAAGCCTTATGTTTTTTTGATGAAATTTGTTGTTTTGCAACCTTATTGAAGCTTTTTTTAGTTCACTTAAGCTGAATTTCATGCATGATGGAATTACTCTTTGCTTGTCGCATCTCTTTGCCAGCTTAAGGTGGCGTCTATGGTCGTTAAAGTGACCTCAATCGGTAATTAAATCTTATACATAATTGGAAAGAAGTTTTTGCAATAATATAACTTTAACTTTGTTTGAAGGATATCTTACTTACGCGTAGGTTTTTAACAGGTGTTATGCATGTTCAACTTGACAACACAAAGCAAAATTGATCTGCACGAAACGATCAAGTTTAAAAAACTATAGTTGCTTTGAAACCGATCTTGGAGAAGATTTACTAGATAAAGATTAACTCTTTTTCTGCCCACATATCAACGTCAAAACTTCTACATTGACGATTTTGTTTATATTTTAGTGATCTGCGAAGCTAGAAGTGTCCGATCGAGCGTGGGTTTTAAAATATCACCTCGAGTGCGACAAAGTTCAGTGACAGCAAACACATTGTGGGCAAACTTGAATTTCTTTGGGCAGATAATATATAATACGTAGATAGTTTGTTTTTGTGTCCACGGTGGAGCTCCAGACCTTATATATCCAGGAACTTCCTTATATGAACACATTTTGTGAATGCATCTTGGAAAAAATCGGAGTTACGCACGCACATTTCCAGTACAACTCAAGGAAATTAGCAAATGGCGTTAAAGTCCGTTTTACTATGATGTACTCTTCGAGAAAATTAAATAATAAGAAGGTTTTAACCACAGGTTGCAACTTTTGAAGACAAATTGCCTGTTATTTCCATGTTTATGGCCGCACAAACCACTTCTGCGCCAAGTCGACGCGAAAAACTCTGTTTTGATTTTCCCGCTTTTTTTCACCTGACCAACATTGACGTCACAAGCTGTTTTTTCCGACAATTTTTCCAACCGCTCTACGAAGATAAGGGCCAAAAAACAGCAATTTTTAATTACGAATATCTCGGAGATACTTGCTTCAATTGAGCTGAAACTTCATAGTATGTTTATTTGGTTCATACAGAAACTCAGTTTGTGGTTCATATTAAACACATTTCACTGGAATTGAACTAAAATAAAAAAGGTCGAAATTTTGGTTCATTTGACCTTTAACTGGAAAGCGTCGGAACAGTTGCCATTAATATACGTGAAACACGTTGAAGCCGATTTGATGAATAAGACGTTAACCACTCGAGCGCTGTTCCTCTTATTCCAAAGCTTTTACTGAGACGTGATAGCAAGAAAGAGTGTTCAACCGTATTAAAAGCAGCACTGAGATCGAGTAGAACAAATTGCTCCACGTGTTGGCAATTCATGGCCAGTGCTGTCTCCGTACTATTACCCTGTCTGTATGCAGACTGTAGCATAGGTTAAGGTCGTGATAGTTCACTGAATCGTACAAACCATTTCACTTTGGTGATATTCATCTGCAACTGAAATTCTAAAGGTAATTATTCGAACTCACTTTGTCATCCCCGATTACTGTTAGTTTTAAGGAACCCTTTTTCCAGCAGTGGCGTTTGATTTGCGGTAACTGGTCCTTGTCAAAAACGTGAATGGGTTTATTGGAATTACGTCATTCTCTTTTGGTTAGATGGATTGTTGAATCTAAACTCCAACGTTTGTTTTGTTTTGTTGTTGTTCTTTATTCCGACTACGCTTTCTTTGAAGCAAAAACATCCCTCCTGGTTAGCTCTTTCTTGTTTACTAGGTTATTGATTGATTGATTGATTGATTTTATGTTTTTCAGTTATCGAAGGACCAACGTCGTGTCTTAACAGATTCATACGTTGCCTCATCGGCAAAGAAGACAATCGAACAAAGATTGCTAGGATTCCTCAATTACAATTCATATCACTTGCCCATGTATGCCAAACCAGGAATGGTGTGACATCGCAATTCTCTGTGTAAGAATAGATTGCGTGACTTGTGAGATGTGAGAAGGAATGCATAGTACAGTGTATATAAAGATGAAGAGAGAGCATCGTTATTAAGTTTTTTAGATTTGCCACGTTTTGTGTAAGAGAATTTTTAGTGACGTGAATTAGAATTTAGTGACCCTGGCAACTGTGTTGCATTTGAGATCCTTGACTTTGCAGTGGAACGAACTGATAATATCTAACAAGAAATAAATTTTAAAAAATAGAACCTCATAAATACTGAGTTTTAACTGTAAAAAGATACTTCTGCATGTGCTATGATTTACATTTGCAAAAACAAATCCGTGGATTCACAGTGGACGACTCAGCCAAAATGCCATCTCCAAGTTGCCCCCTAAAACCTCTGTTTTATAGCGAGGTTAAGTGCGAAGCCATTGATATAAAAATAATTTTCTATTCTCATGCAAATAAAACTCATTTTCACGAGAAATGTTAATTAACATCGTTAGCATGTACATAACTACAAGAATTTACAAGACGAGGCATGGAGGGCAATTAACATGAACATTAAAACAAAAAAGGTCTATTTAGGATTTTGGTGAAACCTTGGTGAAACTTTTCCATTGGGACAACTTAAAGCACGCTCGATCCAGTTGTTAGCATATTCTGATATCCAGAACCGTCAAAGCGCAAAACTAGTCAAATAAGATTTTGTCAATAATTATTGCAGTTGTGCACGTTTTATGTATTACTAATTGAATACTACGTTTCGTGCTTGACATAACAGTTGAAAACGTGTTGAAACACAGGACAAAGAGCTATCTGTAAACACAGCTGATGTCAGGACATGTTGACCGATCAAATATTTCCAATCCCCCACAAGAATATCTCATTCCCCCCAACCTCGCCTTCTTAACCATGATCTGTTTTACCTTTCTCGAACTCTTACAATGGCCACCGTTTTTGAACTCCCAGTGTCCCACACAAAAGATGGATTTTGCAACGTATCATATAGACGAGCAAGTTTTCCTTGTCAAAGTTCTTGTGGTGGAGCTTTGTTAATAAGCAAAATTTATTGTTCTCGCTCATTTGGGGGAAGATTGACGTCTGACCCTTATTCATTCAGAGCTTGAAAACATCCTGCTGTTTGATACTTGCCCTTCTTGAAATGACATCGTATGTAAGGGTTATTTACCTGGAGCGAGAGGGTATGTGATATATTCACCTGCTACCACGCCGAGGGTGCCCATAACTGACCGCTTCGAAACAAGCTATATCAGTGCTGATCGAAAACGTTTTGCATTTACTGGTTTTTAATTAAGTTTCAAAACGTCACAAGTCGAATTTAAAGGAGAACTTATAATCGGACGTTTTGTTTGTTTGTTACAAGAAGATGAGCCTGTAACTGGCGCCAGGGGCTTTTAAGTGGGGCTGTTTATGACCGGCAGTTAACGCTATTGTGTTATTGAGATTTAGATCCTTTATGTATTGCTAGAATCATAAAAATACCGCTGAAAACACAATTTTCAACACTAATTGCAAAGTCGGAAACAGCCAGTAAGATTGCCTATACTTAAATTGACCAGTGCCAATATATTCCACCGATATAACAGGAAATCAAAAAAATATAAAGAATAAGAAAAAATTATATTACTAAATTTTAAGCGCTTGATCTGGGGTCTAGCTTTGAGTGAGTGCCTAAAAAACGACTAGACGGCTGGCAAAGCAGCCATAAGAATATAACAGTCAGAAAGAAACACTTCTGTAAAATTGATTTTGCCATTTAATGCCTTTAACCGGTCATTTGGCCGCTTTTAAGGGGTCTACAAAAACTATCTTAATTTTTGTTCATTTGTCGTTTTGTCCTCTAAGTAACTCAAAACATAATGTGCTTAAAATACTGTTAAGTGGTGAGCTTATTACTGTCAGACGCTGATGGCAAATTTTATTCTTTAAAACTGCACTTAAGCAAAGCCGAGAAAAGCTTTCACGCTCAGTAATGCTCTATTAGGATGACTTTGCAATAAATAAAAGTGATCATTACTGTAAAATTAACAAGGCCGCAGTTGCCACATTACCAGACCCCAGGAAGTGCGGCAGGCTCGTCTTTAAAAAGGCAAGAGACCTACGAAAGAAGGCTGAAAGAATTCTTTTTTCGAAAAGATGTCTTGTCCAGATTGTATTAAATTGCCTTTATGGTTTCCCCTATTATTTATTTTGCTTGCTTAGCATTTTCTATTTGAAGACCCACGGCTTAAAAATAGCCGCTTTGTGTTTTAAGAGACATTATCCTCATGACGTCTTAATAACGGTCTCTTAAATAAAAGGTCTTTTGAAAATCGGTACCTTCCCTTGAACGCACTTTTTATAATAAATCATTCTTCAAAACAGTGCAATTGGGATATACAGCTGCAATTAAAATGTCTTATACACATGTACGTAAGCGAACTACAGCCAGATTACCATTTCTTAAACACGTGCTGTTTTACATGCATGGGTAATTTTAATTTAGTTTTTATTGACCTTTTTAGACAGGGGAACTGCAACACGATTAAGGATCCCCACCATTTTTTCCTTCGGTTTTTAAATAATTTTGAACAAAACTCTGACTCGAATCTTGGTAGCTAGGGCAATCGACACTGAGGAATATTCTAGTGAAGGATAAAGTAAACAAGTGCGTCCTGCTGAAAACGTGCTAATCACCATTTCTTTTAGTTTTTTATCGCCTTTCAACCAGGTGAACTCCAAAGAAAAGACAGATAACATGTTTTGTCATAACCTTGAATCAAACTCTGACTCGACGCGATTTTCAGGCCTCATCAAATGGATTTTCCTTAGAGTTAGTTTCGCAGCCTCTCGTAACTCACTCACGCGCCAGAAATAAATCAGAGGGTTTACTGCCGCGTTCGTAAATACCAACGCGACTGCCACGCAATGAGCAGCCGATACTCTCATGTCTTCCTTCGCTTGTGAAGCACTGATTGAAGTTGTAATAACAAATGGGATATAACTCCCAACAAACGCGCCCACAAGAAGAATCATGGTGTTTGTGGTGCGGCGAAATCTGGCCATGTCCCTCCCATCTTGAGATCGCGAATGTTTCATGTGTACATTGTGCCTTTTCACAGTCTTAAAAATCATAACATAACAGAGGCTATCGCCAAGAGCTATCAGACAGCAGAAAGCCACAAGTATGTAGGTGAAAAGTCGAATCCTTACTCCAAACCACAAAATTGTTATCCATGTTATCCATATGAACCAGTAAATAAATACAGTGATAATCACCCGAGTAGTAGTTATTAACTCGGTGTATCGAAGGTGGAAGTGAAGGGCAAGATATCGCTCGACGCTGATAGCTGAAAGCGTTAAGAAGGAAACACCACTAAACAACCAACTCGTGTAAAAGTGAATAAACACAGCATAGCAGTAATATTCCATTCGTCCCAAAATAAGGCAAATTTCTGCGACCACGAAGGAAGGTTGGCAAGAAAAGCCAACAAAAAAGTCCGAAACTGCCAGCGAACAAAGCAAAATGTTTTTGGTTTCATGGCGTAGCGATGGAGTCCAACATATCGACAAAATGACCGTTGTGTTAAGCAAAAGCGTAGCGCAGCAAGTTATGATGTTAAATACACAGGCTACAATTGAAGCTATAATGTAGAAATTAGGCAAACTGTCTCTGACTTGTACGTCTAAAAACGGTTCAAGAGTCTGGCAGAAGGATGCTGTAAAATTCATTGAACTTTTGAAGGTGTAACTTGTGTTATTTGCCATAACTAAAGCAAAAATCACGTTTTGGTTCAAAACATCTGGATGAAAATTTGTTTACCCAGGTTCGAACTGATACAGCTTTTAAAATATGCCCCCCAAAAGTAAATGTAAAACTTATGATAATTAATGGTAATTGCTTCTAGCAGCGGAAATTTATATCAGTTCTTTCATTACTCCGTTCTAGACGAACTTTTAAAGTACGTGTAAGGCATTACGCAAAACGTTTCCTTTAAAACAATCCTTTTGTTTCTTTGTTTTTCTGTGTCGGAACTAGAGAAACTTTATGCTCGTTTGTTAAGACGTCTTCCTGCAAAAGGAAAAGCCGGCCATTATGTCGATAAAGCGCGAAAGGATTGTGATAGAGTCAAGGTTAGTTTTATTTATAGGTTATTTGTTTTTAGAGCTTAGGCTGATACAATGTTGCATAGTTAGTCATGTGTACCCCTAATCCCACCCCGGATCCACATTCAAATCTTCTTACGTCAGACACAAGATTAAAGTGAAGTGTATGTGGTTGACATGGGTCGTAGTATATGGATCTTCTGGCAGTCTAATATAACGCTTTTAGTTTCATATATTGTGTCCTTGCTTTGCTAAACTCATCTTAATGCCTTCATGCAATTATTAAACAACCCACGTAAGTACTGAAAATACGCCAACCTATATTTACCGTTTATAAATCGAGTTTATAATTTGACTTTATAATTGGCGTATAAAAAAGCAAGGTATACAGCCCTTGGGAATTTTAGACAAAACTTCGGCATCTTTCTTTCAAAAAAACAAACAAACAAACATACAAACAATACTGAAAAGAAAAAATATTGGAAATCCCATTTAAATTTGGTGAGAATATTTTCTACGCCATTATATATGGTATTATTTCTTTATGATATTCTGAGCTGAAAATACGTCAGTTCCCACATCTACTGACCTTCAATATCAGACCCATAAGTTTATGCACCAAAGACAATTTTGTCAAAATAATTACGATCATGACTCAGTTTCGTAATTTTCAATAACTGATTGTAGCATTGAGTGACATGGACTATTCCAACTAATTTAAAACTTTGTTGTTTTTTTTTTTTAAAAAAATCAAATTAATTCGTGATATTAAAATTGAACTTAATAGTAAATATTGAAGCTATATTGTATTACTGATAAGTTGTGGTTGAAATCAATGCTGTCTGTTCACTTTATCTTTAAATTGTACTATATTATAATTTTACTCAGTCACGAGCAAACTCAGAATACACTAAAAATGCTTGCTGAAGGGTGCTGAAGCTACCTGGAGATCCTTTCCTGACATAAATAAATATAGATAAATATAGATATACAGCTATGCTAATCTCCTTCCTTAAGATATTAGAATATCGCCCAGTAAGTTTCTTATTATAGGAACACACTTATCATGATTGTTTGCTCGACCATACTGTTTTTGATTGGCTAAAATCCCCCGGCTAATTCTTTACAACCGACCGGCGGTGACCAAATTTGGAAGATGCGAGTAATGTACCATCCACGGCATATTTGCCTGGAAAAGAGGCTGCTTGGGAAATCAGCATACCATCAATCAACCTCGTTTCTAGGCGCGACCTCCTAGATGTTTATTAGCGAGTGAACTA